CCAATTTCTCTTTAGACCTTTTTAAAGAGCTTAAAAAAACAATTAATTTAGTATATAAAAGTATTTTTGTTCGGTTAATAGTAATGGAGAAAATTAAAAAAATTGTAAATTTAAAATTCCCATGTTATTCTTATGGAGAATATTGTCAAATGTTGTAGTTTGCTTGTTTATGGATATATTTTGTATTTTGATCAAATTTATTTATTTTGTACTAAGCTATCAATATTTTACAATAAAACACACTTTATTAGTTTCCTTGTAGCAGCAAACCTAGGTACTCGTTAAACCTAATGTTATTAAAATATATTTATTTGAAAATCAATTAAGACTAGGGGTCTGCGGTGCACCGAAAATGTCGGTACGGTACGGTACAAGCTTAATTACCGTCATCGGTTCGGTACAGCATTTTACACGGTACAAATTCGGTTCGGTACAGCCTAATTATAATAATAAATTACTTTCAGTTTACTATCGTAGTCAACGACAGTTGGTTCCGAGCACATAAAAGTCTTATCAGATGTTTGTTTACGATCTTCATAATTTATTACTAGGGTGATGATGCAATAAAAACCCCATTATCAGTTCCAAATCCATTAACATTTTATCACGACAATCGTTGTTGTATTCAAGTACTTCCAAGAACTGTTGAGTTTTATCACTTTATTTCTTTACGACTTTCTCCAATTCTATTTTATCATAAAAATAATAGTTTTATGATGACTGTTAAATGTTATCTCTAACTCAAGTCTTTATTTTTGTAGATATTCAATTTGCCGCTGGCCATTGCCTACTGCCATAAAACTGTTTATGGCTACACATTAAACTTGTAACTAATCTACAATTTTATTTTATAAGTTAAAATTTTTGTTATAGATATTAGAGGTAAGTGTGGATATCCGAAAAATCGGGTCGGATTCGGATATCCGTATCCGAACCGGGCCCAAATTCGATATCCGACACTATCCGTTATATATTCAACTTTTTCGGATAGACAATATATTTTGACGTTTTGGACAGAAAACTAAATCTCCATAGCCACCGTTAGTTTCCCAGGACAAAATTACAGCAATACGTTTCCAACGACCTAACAGCAAACGGCAAAGAAGCCATATGATGCAATACTGATAACTAGTTTGGTCGTTATCGGCTGTTTTGCTTTACGATTAGATTCGTCTGGAACGAACAGACATAAAGCAGAAAAGAACTACCATGGTCAAATGAAAGTCAACTCGTGTTTGTCTCGCTCCTGATACTAGGGGCGCTGCGTAGCGTAATAGTTTTTTTTACAGTACTGTTTCAAAGTAGAAAATCTAGCCTACTACTGTGATGTTACGTAAACAATAGATTTAATGTTTCCCGAAAAAAGTCAGAATAGAAACAATAGAAAGACAACACAATAGAAGGGTGGGAGGGGTTGGGCAATGACCTCGAAAGGAGCGCGTAGTGAGTCAAGTAGGACCGGAGGGGGAAGGGGTGGGTAAGACCTTGAAGCTATATATAGACTTGCACTACTTCCCTAAACCTAAAGGACTGGCCGGCGAGTGGTATTCCAATCACAGGACAAGATACGTTGTTTTTGGGTATTCATTGCCCAGTTTGACTTTGGATTGTCTTACTGTGTAGAAACTTTGAATGATAAAAAATAAAGTTAGAACTAACCACGATTATTTAGCATTGATTGTGTACATATTAAATGATTAAACTATAGGGACCATGGATATATACAAACTTTTGTCGTGATTTTAATTTCAACATCAAAATACAATATTGCACAATCGTGATATTTTAGGTCATTGACCTTTATTATGCATCCGGTATTGCTGTTTCAGAAGAGAAGCACGTTGATAAATTATAAATTGATATTCCCGTAGTTAAAAAGAATTATTTTATAAACCTATAAAACAAAATCATAAAATCTTACATAAAGATAACAATAACGGAAATTGTAAAAAGGGTATAAAGATAACAATGTCGTTATTCTTTCTCTTTGTTCTTCTATTTCTTGGGTTTCCCTTAATCACGCATTCAACAAGTTATCAAAAGTAATCATCGTCATCCGCGATCGTGGCAAAATCATGAAAATCTTCCGCGGCCGTGTAGACACCATCATTGACTCCCTCGGTCACGGGAACGTCATCGTTGTCGTCCGCGATCGCGGCAAAATCATGAACATCTGCGGCCGTGTAGACATAATCATCGTCGTCTTTCGCGGTCAAGGCAAATCATGAATATTTCCCGCGGCAGTGTAAACATCATCATTGCTTCCAGCAGTTACGGAAACGTCAACACTGTCGTCTGCGATCTCGGCAAAATCACCAATATTTCCCGCGGCCGTGTAAACATCAACGTCGTCTCTCGTGGTCACGGAAACGTCATCGTCGTCTCCCGCACTCACGGAAACGTTATTGTCGTCGTCCGCGATCTCGGCAAAATCATGAATATTCCCTGCGGCAGTGTAAACATCATCGTGGTCTCCTGCTGCCAAAATATTCCTGGTTACTAATCACCCATGTCGTTATCAGCTTTTGTGACATAGCGCACAGCAGGGGGGTAAAACTTGACGAAAATCGGTTAATTTTTACCTATTATTTAGTTACCAATGAATGTACTACTTTATTGGTATTTGGTACTGTATTAATAATCGGTCAAAATGGCCGATTTTTGTCAAATTTTTGCACCAAATTTATTGAAATTTCAAGGTGAATATTAATAAAACAATTATTACCAAATATTTGTATTCATTTAAAAGATTGATTTGTGGTATTGGGTTCCCCACTGAGTGCAGCCGAGCGGCACTAATGAGGGTCGGACCTTCTTGGGGGTGAACAATAGACGGCTTATCAGACCCTCCCCTCCCCCGTAGTCTGGAGAAAGCTTGTAAACAAACTATTGCACAAGCGTGACATTGGGCTCCTTCAACTATAATTTTGTCAAATGAACTGTGATGTTTCAAAATCAAAAACAATAATTTGGGACCTTACTGCTTAACAATAATGGACTGCAATTATTGTTGAACCAATTATTGTTACAATTATTGTCCATTTTTAACAAACTAAGATTATACTAGATATTTTATCTTTATTGACAACCCACAATCATAGTTGTTATTGTTTGCATAATTTTTGTTTTTGTTATTCAAGCCTACTCGGTCTCAAATTATGTCATTTCATGTTCTGTATCTTGTCTTTTATTGTTAGATGTGGCTGTTTAAGGCTTAAAATGTTTTTTAGTTTCCTATATTTTTGTGTTGTGTTGAAGGTACTTTATGCAATCTAAATCTTATGAACTAGATAGTGATTTTGCTACCCTCATTGTAACCTAATCAATTTATCATTATATATAGGCCCTCCTAAATAATTAGGTCTAGGCCTGGGTCTTTTGATTCTTTGGAAGAGCTTTAAAATATACTAAGAAATTGGATTGAGCCTAAGATAAACTAATGATTGATTTGATTGATATTGCGGATGTTAACTTTATAAATGAAAAGACAATAATCTTACTCTGTGATAATCCAAATTTTAGTTTCAGAAAAAAAATGTTCAAGTGTTGTATCCATCTTATAACTAGTTTTGAAGCTGGTACAAAAATATTCTCTTTGCCATTACTTCATCATAACCTCTAGTGAACAGCTGGCAACTACACTGTCATCGTACTGAATGCTTTTAGGCCTATATGTTTAAAAACATTTTTAAAACAACTAGACATTGTGTTGGTTGGAAATAATTGACCAGTTGTGTTAAATTATCTTGTCAATAAATGTTTCAAACATGTTTGTTCCTAAAAACCCTTATCATATTTTTAAAACCACTTTTATCATGGCTATTCAAAGTATCTCAGAGTAAAATAGGTAAAGCCTTTATCTTAACTGTGATTTTTCTTGACACAATCCTCGTAGTAGTAAAAGGTTTTGTTTTAATAATGTGTGGTACAGTAATTGTTAGAAAACCATGAATGTAGGATACTATCCATTTTCATAGTTATGTCAATGTATTAAAGTTAAAAATAATGGTTTTAATACAGTTCTGAGCAGAAAACCGCAAAAATACAGGTAGCCGCGTACCGTACCGATTTTGTACCGAGAACCGAGGTACAAAATATTGTACCGTACCGAACCGTACCGACCTTAAATTTTCTGTACCGCAGACCCCTAATTAAGACAAATGGAAATTCGCTTAGTCGGCAGGTTTGCTGCGGCGGGGGTATTTTTTTAAGGTTAGGTTAGACCAGAGGCATAAAATAGCCCTTAGATCATGTACTGTTACATGAAACTTGCAGGGTTATAGTGAATGAACAAAAAGGGACCTGAAAACAGGACAATTGTTTTTAGGGATGGACGGGATTTCTCTCTTCCAAAATATTCTTCTCTCAAGCAAAAGAGTTTAAAAATCCTAAGTAACACTCTTGCAGATGGCAATAATGGTTAACAAAATCAATTTGCTGTCCTGTGGCACAGATCTAGGCCTATAAACAACAATTTAATCAGGAAAAAGAACACAGGTAACAAAATGCTTTTAACTGAAAAAGTGTGTATTTGGTACAAATTGTGTGTGTTTCTAGCCTGGTGGTTAGCGTCTTGGACTTAGTGGCGAGAGGAACAAGTTTAATTAGATCCACAAAACTTGAATGGGTATGAACCACTTTTAGTGTTTTAGTTTACCTAACTGAAAAATTTGACTAGCGTTGACACAACAATCACTTGGGACAACAGTCTTGTTAAGAAAAACTCCGTTGGCTAACCACAAAGCATTTAATCTGACTATCATTGTACTTAAACAAACATAGGGTTTTAAGGCCTGAAATGAATACCAGTATAAAAACAGAATTAGCTTCAGCACACTCCCCTCACAACAATAGGGGCCTGAAGACAGAGCCGAAGCGAGTTAAGGGGGAGTATAAATTTATATTACGGTTGATTTTCTCTTTGCAAATGTCTCTTCCTAAATTGTAGTCTTGTTGTTATTAAGATTTATATAAACAGAATAACGCATAACTTAGCTCACCAATGTCACTGTTCGGTTTGTTCCTCCATGATGCAAAAGCCGAGCTGTGGCCGTTGTTGTTGTTGTTACTGACGCCTCCGGCTGCTTCTTCTACCCCAAAGAAAAATTAAATAATGTTATTATTAATTATTAACAAAGATAATAAAGTTATCTCTACTCGTTACTTTGGATACTCAAGAAGCCATCTCATCTGTATAATGGTCCCGCTGTAGTTAGTTGTTCATCCCAATTGATTTTTTTTTATGATCCTGCTCAAAAAATTTGCCCTATTTCAATGGTGTCATTATAAAATTACTAGAAAAACTATTAATCAGGTTGTCTACTGGTTCTTGTAACTAAATCAGAGACTTTTCAGTACCTTTTGATTTCCCCCATTAAATATCATAGTTACTCCCACCGCTTACCCTTTTAGCGAATTTCCCATATAGGGAATAAGCTATTACCGTAGTACTCATGGTAAGACCTGGACCCGGGACCGATTTTTTTTTCGTTTGAGGTCCCTAGAGGCCAAAAACACCATCCGTTCAAATTCACAACCTCTTTATATATACAGTGTGTAAATTAAGTATGGAAACAAATCTGTATTTTTAAAACCGAAATAGATAGAAATATTCTATTTGTGGCAATAATAGTTAACAAAGATTCCGCAATTTTTCACATGAAAAATATTTTTTTACCCCCCTAACAGGGTAGGTGGTAGGGGGTGACTTATTTTTTTCAAATAGCAACCCCTATTGAGTGACCCCTCATTTTGAAGGGTTTGTCAAAAGAAACACAATGACGCAAATCCGAGGTGAATATCTCACTCCTAGCTAACATGGCGGATATTCCAAAATGGGCTTTTTTTTACAAAAAATAAATTTTTCATTACCCACCATTTAGGCTAGGGGTAAAATATCTACCTCGGGTTTGCGTCATTCTTTTTCTTTTAACAAACCCTTCAAAATGAGGGGTCACTCAATAGGGGTTGTTGTTGAAAAAAATAAGTCACTCCCACCCCCTACCCTGTTAAAGGGGTTGAAAAAATATTGTTGATTAAAAAAATTGCGGAACCTATGTCAACAATCAATTCCACAAACAGAATATTTCTATCTATTTCGGTTTTAAAAATACAGATTTCTTTCCATTATTTGTGAAATTGGTGCTTTTCACGTACAATAAATCAAATTTTGGAATATCCGCCATTTGGGCTAGGAGTGAGATATTCACCTCGGATTTGCGTCATTGTGTTTCTTTTGACAAACTCTTCAAAATGAGGGGTCACTCAATAGGGGTTGCTATTTGAAAAAAATAAGTAACCCCCTACCACCTACCCTGTTAGGGGGGTAAAAAAATATTTTTCATGTGAAAAATTGCGGAATCTTTGTTAACTATTATTGCCACAAATAGAATATTTCTATCTATTTCGGTTTTAAAAATACAGATTTGTTTCCATACTTAATTTACACACTGTATATGTGTCCGTTAGCGCGATAACTCGAGCAAAAATGATCCGATTTTGATTAAATTTGGTACAAACGTGTAAACCTACGTTTATTCGAACGAGTTCGCGAACCAGCATGATCGGACCATGGGAACGGGGGTTTATGGGGGGTTTTATGGGGTAAAAATGGGTTTTTCCCATTTTTGACCCAAAAAACATCAAATTTTGCAATTTCTTTCCAAACTATTTTGTAGAGCTTAAAAAAACAAATAATTTAGTATATTGAAGCGTTATAATGCGCCTAATGGTTATGGAGAAAATTCCAAAAAATTGCAAATTTAAAATTCCCATGTTATTCTTATGGAGAATAAGTAAACTGTTGTAGTTTGCTTCTTTATTAACATATTTTGCCCAAATTTGGAACATGTTTTTATTTCTTACTAACAATTAACATTTTACATAAAAAAAACACTTTTACCCTCCCTGTTGCAGCAAACCTAAGTATGTGTTAAACTGATTCTATTTAAATAGGGATGAATGTGATATTTTTAAGGAGACATTTTAGTGTAAATCCAATCAGGCAAATGGAAATTCGCTTAGTCTGCAGGTTTGCTGCGGCGGGGGTATTTAAGGGTTGTTGGCAAGATAATGGGAGGGAGTATGTGTTAGTTTGCTGTTACTGTTTATTGCTTTTTAATTTGGTGTTTATAGAAGTAAAATTTGCTGTTTTAACGCATTTCCCATATGGGGAATCAGATATTACTGTGGGTCTCATAGTAAGCTCTAGACCTGGGACTGATTTACATTTCATTTTAAGGTCCCCAGAGGCCAAAACCACCATGATGTGTGTCCATTAGGTTGGCGTAATAAATAACTTAACTTCACCAAAAATTATCCAATTTTGATGAAATTTGGTACAAACCTATAAAACTCACTACATTCTAGGCTCATCTTCCCAGTTGCATTCCTGATCAGAATTGGTAATAAAAATGACAAAACACAGCTATAAAACAACTATGAGCTCTAAAGCATTTCACCATTAGACTCTGTAGAGGTGACAGTCTTGCCAGAGCGGGCAATCTCGCTGACTAGTCCATAAGTACAGTTGATGAACGCCTGTGCAGGTAGTCTGTAGCCTCGGTGAGGCGAACACCTCAGCTTGAGTCCTCCAGTGAATGGTTTATCAAACACAATGTCATACATAGCCTGCGGGCCTTTGTCTGCATCATGAATACCTGCGCAAAGCAAGAATAAAACCACAAATCATGAAAGGAGGAACAAGAATAGTAGGAATTTGTCAACAAGATATCGCAGGGGATATTAAAATTGTTGTATATCAAATTGATGTTTTGGTTTATAGGGGGTTTATAAGTTAAAAATGGGGTTTTCTCATCTTTCACCATAAAGACATAAAATTTTTCAATTTCTTTCCAAACCATTTTCTAGAGCTTAAAAAACAAATAATTTTGTATGCTGAAGCTTTGTTGTATGGCTAACAGTTACCGAAAAAATTCCAAAAAAGTTTAAATTTAAAATTTTCATGTTATTCTTATGGAGAATAAATAAACTGTTGTAGCTTGCTTGTCTATGGACATATTTTAAGAGATTTTGTAAATTGGTTTACTTTAACTAAGCTATCAATATTGTAATAAAAACACACCTTATTGTATTCCCTGTAGCAGCACACCTTAGTACTCATTAAAATTACTGATATTTAAATAGGAAAAGGAAATAAATCTGACAATTTTAAGGGAATAAATTGGAATGCCAACCAGGTAGATCAATTTTTGCTTTTTATTTTGCAGGTTTGCTGCAGTGGGGGTATTTTGTTTTGAGGTGATGTTGTTGGGGTATTGTCACCCAATAAATATTTAATCAACATTTATATCTCAGCCAACATGAGATTCCACAAGGAAGTATTAAAGACTCACCAATGATGGTACCTCTAGCGCCCAATGGTACCGTGTGACTCTCTCTTATGTTGACTACTCTGTCATACAGACGATGAGAAGCTCTCGGGTCTGGAGCCTGGCCTAGCTTGGGCTTTGGCTGCAAAAATTATAGATAAGTTTAACACTAATTTAGTCAACAGACATGTGATTAAACATCATAGAGCAGTAGCATCTTCTTCCTCAAGCCATTCACGTAAAAATTATCCATCACAAAACCAACTTTAAAATTAACTATTTTTTTAAATTTCAAAACAACATGATTGTCAGAGGTGTCCCAGATTCTGCTGCTTTATCGGGAGTTCATGATAGTGGGAGATGTAGGCCTGCATAAATTTACAACAGATGTGATGAGATATGAAAGATGCACATTATAAAATTTAGGATAACTAAAACCGAGACGTCCTTCTAATGGTAACCATAGCATACTTGCCCTGTTAAAACGTTTTAGAAATACACTAAGGTTTTTCTGGTTGAACAGGAATAACGATCTGGTCCCTAACCAATAGTAAAATGAGGTCATGCCAATAGCAACCTAACAAATTATGAGAATATCTTACTATGTATAAGGAAGATGGTTTGGCATCGAATGTGACAGCCTTTACACAAAGGTCAGGATCCATATTATCAATGTACTTCTCAATAGCAGCAACCACCGCCTCATCCAACACCTCAGCACCACAACTCTGCCTCTCTGCTGAGCATGAGCCTCTCTCCTTCAGCCAAGTTGCCAGCTCTGCCAACTTCTCCACCCTGTGTAACATAACTTCATGTTAGCGGACTTCATAACTGTAGGGGTCTGCAGGCCAGACATCGAGTCAAGTCAGGTCAAAATACCCTTGTAAAGTATTGATTTAAAAAAATATTACTAGTAAAACTACAATCGCTTTATACAACATAAATTACACTATCTCCCCTATATCGTGGTGATATTGTGAGTATCCTTTGAGGCTACAATGAAATCTAGATCATCTTTTGCGGTCTTAGAGAAATCGTGGACATCTTCCGCGGTCACGGCAAAATCATGAACATCTTCTGTAGTCACAAATAAATCCTTAACGTCTTCCCGGAAACGGCAAAATTTTAAATATCTTCTGCGGTCTCTTGGACATGTTTCGAGATCACAGCAAAATCTTGAACATAACATACAATTGTCGCATAATTGTAAATTTTTGATCGCACATCTTCACAGGCATAATTTTGGCCTGAAAATTATTTTACTCTGTTGACCTGATCTAACCTTAAAGTATAGCAAACCCACCAGACAGCTACATAACTATGGATTTATACAGACCCCTATCAGCCACCACTGCATCATTTTAACACCTCCGCAATACAAATCTCAGTAGTTATTCATTAATAATGTAATGCATGTAAAATCACACGAACTTGTTTTGTGAAACCTATAGTGTAATGTTTCAGACTTACGTATTCTCAGGGTAAAGCTGATTTGCGTGAACATCATCAAATCCTGGATATTTCGTAAGGTAAGCAAACACCTCAGGAAACTTTTCTTTGTAGTCTAGTATTTCCTGCATAGTCTTAGTAGAGTAATACCAGTAACCGTTCTTATCTCTTTTGGTATATCCGTATACCTGAAAACATCAAGATGTTTTACAAGTCTTTTATGAAGTGTAAAACATTTTTTTTTTAACTTCTCTAACAACAAAATGCATTTCCATTGTTTTGCCAAAGAAGATTATAGAGCTTAAAAAATGTTGTAGTATTTTCTGGAGGTAGGAAAAATTATCTACTATTAAATTATTTACAAAACATACCCTGTTAACATAATTCTTGAAAAATCCATCCATCACTACAATCCATCCCTTTAATCCTAATAAATTGGGGCTTTTCACTCTGTCTCCAAATTGAGTATAAAAAGGAGGTGAGCCGTTTTGACCTTCAATCTTTTTGTAACCAATTATTTATACAGAAGTACAATGAAAAGTGTTGTTTCTTTGTAAATTGAGGCTGATAGGATTGAGACTCTAGCAATCCAAGGTTTGCTTTTGCCATTAAGGTTTTCGGCAATGAAGCTCTAGCCTGAACAGTTGCCATTCTGGTTTCTGCCGTTGAGACTCTTGCCAGTAAATATCCAGGAAGTAGTTCAACACTCACCTCCTCATTTCTCCTGTTGAACTTGAGGTTTAGACCAATATTGAGCTTGAAAGGTTTCCTGTCTGTTTCCTGCTGCTGCTCGGCGGCCAGGATGAAGATTGTGCCGGTGATACGAGACACAATATGGTTAGACAGCCCCACAAACCTGCTGATCTCTTGGGCTACAGCCAACAGAGTTGCAATGTCAGTTTTGAGTTTTGACGTTTCATTATGTTTTTTTTTATCTCATCTGTATTTTTGATTAAGAGTATTTAATAAAAATCTTAACACAAGAAACTTATGTTGGCATAATACTAATACTGTACATATGATAATTGGTTATTACTGAAGGTGAAACATTAACACTAACCTTTTTTTTTGGAAAACAACATGAAAATTAAATCTTAAGTTTATTGTGCCTATGGGCTAGACTAGATGTGGATTGTGTTTAGGACAGACAAGAGTAAAAACTTTGCATACTGGTATTCAAGAATATAAAAAAATGTTCTAACGAATCTGTGTAATTAAAGTTAAATCTATAAAATGTGGAAAATGAGTTCACGAATGTTTGCATCCTGTGATAAAAAAGCTAGTTGGTCCCTAGAGACTAAAAATACTATTTAGTAATCTCTCAAATTTTTATATAAGTATATAAATATGTTTTTGGCCTCTGGGACATCAAATTAAAAAAAAAGTGAATTGACCCCGGGTCGTCTTACCGTACCACCTAAAGTAATAACTACTACCCTACAGGGAAATTCACTACTATGATTCTTACCGCTCATTAAATGAGGACTGATGGCCTCCTGGTTTTGTTTGATAGAAACCAAGCTTACTTTTGGTTCTGGGGAGGTGGTTACTTTCACCCGGACATTATCAACCACTTGCTCCACCTAAAACAGAAAAACACATTTAAAGGTAACAGAGAGTTTAAAAATTCAACACTATCAACCCCAAAGCAAACTTTTATCAATAAACCTTAGTACAGTCACAACACAACACATATCTTCAAAAATACGACGACAGGAAAGTCGTAAAAACTCACTGAGAGAACTAAAAAACTGTTCTATAGTTTCTGACTATTGTTTCCCCACAAAGGCTTTAAATCCCATATAGGTACCTGGTTGAGGGATGTGGAGAGGAGCAGAGTGAAATGGCAGATGGTAAAGGAAGAAGAGCTGTGTGCTTGGAGTGGAGCTTCAAGCAATTTGTCCGAATTTTTTCACTGGAAGGGTGAAGTTCTCAGTGCTACTTCTTAATTTCAAAAGGTACTTACTTTCCATTTGTTTTTTTCTTAATTAAAGTATGTCTACATTCCTTTTTCCTTATTTTTACACATTTTGAAATTTGAATTCATGCGCAAAATGTTCTTCATCAGTGTCTTTTGAGGTGTGAGCCAAGTTTGCTACCTCTGTCATATTTTGTGGCACTTAAGAAAGAGCTTTGTAAACATTTGAAATCTCAGTTGAGAACTTTGTAGAGCTCCAATAACTTTTTTTGAGTTACAAGATTGTCAATGATGGGTAGTAGCACAACCAAAACATAAATCTCTGAGTAATTTTTGCTAATATATTTATATCTGGATTTGGGTTCATTAGCTAGTTAGTAAAAATGTAATCTTGTGAAATATTTTAATTTTCCACCCTCATTTGAGCATCGTTTGCACATGCATTCAGCATGCCTAGTTAAAAACAGGTTCTAGACAAGATAACTACTTCTGAGGAGGAGATTTAAGCCTACGCTTACGGCCGGGAAAAACTGGAAAGGAAGAGATGTATGTTGCAAAAATTATCACCTTGCAGAGTCTAAACGAGCATTACTTAAGACTTACAGTAGCTTTGAATCCGTAGCAGAAATGGGAGAGTGAGAATACCACTGATTCTACAGGGAACATCTTCTCCAAGGTGAGGTTGTCAGGGACAGGTGATTCCTGAACAGAGAGGTTGGCTCTCGTCGTCTGCAGGGCATAAGCAACAGGGAGCTTGCCAAACTGAAACAAAAGAAAAGTAGAGTACTGTCTTGTGTTAGGTCAGAAATTTTTGTTAGAATAAAGAGAAGTTTTCAATTTCAAGCTAAATACCCACTTCCAGAAAGAGTTTGGTAAAGAGTTGGGATAATATTTTTTGGCTTCACAATGGCCTAGGTTTAAGGATTTTTTTTTAACATCAGACTTAGCTAAATGACAAAGAGTTCATTCTGGCACAAGAAACAAATGAGCAAGCACTACACAAGAAAATTAGAATATGTACTGATATTGAAAAATCTGTCAGTGAACATGAAATATTAAATAATAATAGAATGGTGTTTGTGGTTTTCTTGCCAAGATAGCCTCTTTCCCATTCAGATTTTGTAAATCGTAGTGTTTGAATGAATGCAGATTTTATTTATTCTTACTTACTCCCAGGGCAGAAATAAAACCAAAATATTGTTTAAAATATTCATTAATTAAATTATTAAAAAGGTCACTTCACCAGATCTTAATTTTGAGAAAAGTAAATTTGATCATTTCTCTTTGATATTTCTGGGAATTTCAGTTGGTTTTTATGTAAATAACAGATGTATTTTATTTTTAAGTCTTAGATTTAACCTTTGGCAATAAGCCCTGCCATTTATGAGATGTGCTGACATGCAATTTAATAAATAAAAATAAATAAATAAGTAGTATTATTTTGTCAATGCATTTTTAATGATACATTATTATTGCAGGTTGTACAGTTAACGACCGTTAATCCAGCATTCGATAAACCGGCACTTTCAATGATACGGTTTAGTAAAAAAATATAGAATTTTGTTTAATGTTGTTTTAAGCCAAATTAGCAGTCGGAGTGATCGGCAGATGTCAGCAGATCAACCATCAGATGTAATCGCGACAGGCAGACGTTAGGAGCGATCAGCAGTTTTTAGAAGGCATTCAGAAATCCAGCATTTTCAATAATACAGCACCGGCAAAGCCCTTCACAGACCCACTTCAACTTGCTGGATTAGCAAGTCTATTGTATTGGGACGGAAAATCTAAGTCTGACATACTAAAACAATCTGTTTTTTCCCAATAGTAAAAACCGTCTAACAGGTTTACAGGGTTTACAGGGTAACAGGCATCAAACAGTCTATCACAGATAAAAACCATATTTTTTCTAAGATAATTACTTGTTTCTCAGTGTGTATTGTGCCGTTATCGTCCAAAACACACTTCCTGTCCTCCAGTGTGCATGCGTAAACCAGAACTTCCGTTGGTCCAATATCAATCCCCATCCTGTCCATATACCTACAACAACAGCAATGTAAAGGGTTGCAATGTCCTAAGTAACAATTTAAAAATTCATTTTTTAATATAACATGCACATCTTTATACAACATTTCTTTAAAACCAAACTGTTATGTTTGTGAACAGTATACAAAAATATTTTACAATTGTAACAAATAGTTCTTTACTGATCATAAATATTTTTAAAATTGTAACAAATAGTTCTTTACTGATCATAATAGAAATCTTTCCACCACAAAAAAATAGTGATCCTGAATATCCTGCACGGTAAGAGAAACATCATCATCATCATCTTCTGCAATCGCGGCAAAACCAGATTAACTTACATGGCTGTGAAGACATCATCATCGTCTCCCATAGTCGCAGCAAAATTATGAATATCCCCCACAGTAACGGAAACATCACAATTGCCTTCTGCGATCGTGGCAAAATCATGAACATCTCCTGCGATCGTGTGGACATTTTTGTCGTCTTGCGTGATCGTGACAAAATTTTAATCATCCTTTAAGCCTCCCACCTTTGCGGCAAAATCATGAAAATTTCTCGTGGTCAAGTGGACCCAACTGTGGTTTTCCGCTATCGCACCAGAATTCTGATCATTTACCGTGGTCAAATGGACATCATCATCGCCTCGCACTGATATGGCAAAACCCTGAATATCCCCTTCAGTAACAAAAACATCATCGTCTTCCACGATAGCGGCTAATTCTGATTGTCTCTCGAGGTAGTGAAAGCATCATGATCGTGTCCCGCGTTCACCATAACATTATCATCGTCACCTACGATCTCCGAAAAAGCGGTTATTTTATGATCTTCACAGACAAGTCAGATATCAACTTGTGACGATCTGTTCTCGATACCAATAATAATTTCCAAGTATCGGTGGTATCGAGAATCAACAAAAATCCCTAGGCATAAATTAACTTCTAACAGAGAAAAAGAAATTAATTTAAATCAGTCTTTCAAGAGCATTCCAAAATCCACTTAGTCTGCAAATTCGCTACCTGGTTATTGTTTATTTACAGAGTTTCAGGAAATATCCGTCCTTACCTATCCTCAATTCCCTGTTTGGTCATGCTCCACTGGGAGGCCAGCTTTGTGTTCATCTCCTCACTCTGGATAGAGTTGTCCTCGGGTTTCAGTATGTAACGTGTCTTACTACTTGCCACCGCAACCACTCTGCACAGAAACAATCAAACCATCATTAATTTACCAATCAAGCAGACAATTAGTGATCAATAAATTGATGAATAAAAAGTACAGCTTTGCCAGTGCATAAACTCTTGAAAATGTGTTCTAGCCTAAGCAAATCTAAATGAGTCTTAGCTCAATGTCTGCCTGTCTGTGTATATGTATTATGGTGTACTACATTAAAATTTTACCCTACCATAAGGCAATTTTTTGGGGGGAGGATGTTTAATGTTAAACTACTGTAGCCTATGTAACAAAAAAATTACCATGTGTTTAATTACATATTTTTAGCAAATATATTTTCTCTAAATGTAATTTGTATGCAATGAAAATACCTATATAAATTTTAAACAAATAATCGCTGAATTGTTTATGTTACCTGTTGTTTCTGTTGTTATCTGTTAATAGTTTCTATATCTTATCCACCCCGCTGTAGTGTGAGATTCATAAATTGATCCAACTACTCACTAAAACCCTTCTACTCTGTTGGACGCAGACCTGGGATGGTCTGTCATACTTCAAGTCAAGACATTAGTTTTTTCAACCCCATTTCAAGTTCTATTGGTAATAAAACTCACTTGGCTTCAAACATGTGTGGCCAGTTGACGTAGATATTGTTCCCCAGCAGCTGACTAGCAACATCAGCCACATCCGGGGGTTCTTCTGGAGTGATGTGCAGTATCATGTTGTCCCCTTGACTGGGCGACTCAAACACCTTTACCTTAGCTTTTTTCAGTTTAGCCTGTCAAATGTAATATCAATTCATTGTAAATATGTTAACATTTTGCTTGGTGTACAAGTGATCCAAAAACTAAAGATGATATATTTTTCATCTAATCAAATACAGCATTATGACTGACCAAAGCCGAGATTTGTCCAGTACTAACTGGAGTGACGGCTAAGAATAGTTTGTCATTACATCTTAAGGTTTCATGTGAATTGAGTTTGTGAAGAGCATAAATTTTGATGAAGTTTTCAGAATTTTGCTTGTATTCTGATCAAAGTAGATCAAAGAAAACCAATTCATTGCTCCTCACCAGGAGCGACGAATTGGTTTTCTTTGATCCATAAGTACCACATAAAAATTATGGCCTGTCATCCAGTAAAGAGTTTCAATTATAGGAGATATTCTTTGGACAATGATTACACTTAGTTAGCCAAACTAGACAAAAATCAGACTTTATTTCTTTGTTAAAACAGTATGGATTTAAATGTAATTTCTACCAACCTACCAGAATTACAAATTCATCTAAGTCATGTATTGATAACATCTTAACATCTGAAATGAAATCTCAATCTCCAGTTACAATGAACTTGGAGTTGGGCCTCTCGGACCATAGGGCCTTATTTATAAATATTTCAAGTGAAATTACTAAGCCATACAAAGAAAGTAGAAATAAAAAATGTAAGAAAAGAATTTTTTCCAAGAAAAATATTGATATATTTTTAAATAGTATACAAGCTACAAAGTGGGAAGTATCTGTTAATAACTGTTTTGAAATCAACTGTTTAATTTTTTTTCAAAAATTCCAAAGTAAACTTGAGGAAGATTTTCCTCTTAAGTTTTATACTAACCAAAACATAAACAAAAAAAAACCTTGGGTCACTAAAGGTATTAAAATATCTAGTGTAAGAAAAAGAGAGCTAAGCAGATTGGCTAAAAAGTCAAATACTATTGACTTCATTAACTATGTTAAAGAGTACAGAAAGATTTTTAGACAAGTGTGTAATAAATCTAAGAAATCATGTAATGCTAGATTTATAAAAGACTCAAAACATAAAAGTAAGGCTGCTTGGGCTATTATTAAAGCTGAATTGGGTTTGGGAAGGAATCAGTCTACTTTTCCCAATATAAAGGTGGCTGATAAATCTCTTACAAATGCAAAGGAAATTGTAGAATTTTTTAATAACAAATTTATAAACATAACTAACCAAATTGGATTGTCCTCTTCTGAAAGTGAGGCGAAAGGCAATGGATGGAAGGGAGACCCCTAAATTTGACTTTCAATTTATTGACGTGAAGGATGTTATTAAAATTATTAAATCTTTCAAAAACAAGAAATCATCAAAGTGGGACAAAATACCACTAAATTTGGTCAAAAATGCTTCTAAATTCATTGCAGAACCACTCTCTATCATTACAAACCAATCATTCCTCAATAGTAGTTTTCCTGAACACTTAAAATATGCTGAACTAAAACCTCTTTTCAAAAATGGAGAGAGACAAAATCCAGACAATTATCGTCCAGTCTCACTTTTACCGACATTCTCTAAAGTTTTTGAAAAATGTGCTTCTTACCAAATATCTTCTTTTATGGAAACCCACAATATTTTGTCTAACAAACAATTTGGGTTTAGAAAGGGTCGAAGCACCATGAGAGCGCTCTCAGACCTTGTTGAGGAGGTGTCATGGGCCTTGGATGAGTCGCATAACACGATGGGGGTGTTTTGTGACTTATCCAAGGCGTTTGACTGTGTCAATCATGATATCCTCATTAAAAAACTAGAGTCGTATCCCTTTTCTGGAAATTCAGTGTCATGGTTGAAATCTTACTTAAATAATCGCTATCAGAGAACAGTCATTTGTAAAGATAATTTAAAAGTAAAGTCAGAATGGCAAAAAATTAAAATAGGTGTGCCTCAAGGTTCGATTTTGGGGCCTCTTCTATTTCTTATATATATCAATGATCTTCCAAAAAATGTTTCAAATAATCTAATTCTGTATGCAGATGATACTACTGCAGTAGTTAAAACAGAAAACAATGAGAGGTTAAAACATAAAATTGATGAAAGCCTAACCGAATTGGGGAAGTGGTTTGAGATCAATGGATTGAAAATGAATGAAGAGAAAACCAAATTTGTAAGATTTTGTACACCTCAATAAATGGCACTCACTGATCAATCTCAACCAACTGAGGATAATGTAAAATTTTTAGGGCTATATATTGATAAACACTTGACCTGGAATAAGTGCATTCAGTCGGTAATCGGAAAATTAAATTCAGCCTGTTTTCAAATGTTATGTTTAAGAAATTCTATAGACCTGAAAACTTCTGTCATGCTCTATTATGCTTACTTTTATTCAGTAGTACAGTATGGAATTGAATTTTGGGGGTTCGCCTCTGAAATTGAAAAAGTTTTTAAAATTCAAAAAAAGTTTATAAGAATTATGACTTTTTTACCATGGAAATCTTCATGCAAAACAGTTTTTAAAGAATTGAATATTATGACTATTCCAAATTTGATTATTTACAAAACATTGTTAGCGTTTTGACATTGTTAACATTCAAATTTTGATGACTACATTAGCAAAAACTTTGACCACATCTATAACACTAGATTAAAAATAATTTCCAATATCCAAGACACAGACTGAAGCTTGTAGAAAAAACACCTAAATACATGGGAAAAAAACTTTTCAATAAACTACCCTCGAATCTAAAAACTTTAATTAATAATAAATCTTTTAAAAGCAGCCTTGCTGATTTTCTGATAAGTAAAACATTTTACAGTGTTAATGATTATCTCATTGGAACTAACCAATCAATATGACTTTTATTTTGTATGACTAGAAACTTATTTTTTCCGTTATTGTTTAACCAATTTTGCCAACTTGTTTAAAACATTTTTTAATGCATGTATTTGTTGTACATTAGGTTAAGTTAGTAATAATCTTGACAATGTCATCTGTTTTAGCGAATTTCCCTATAGGGAAGTAGCTATTACCGTAGGTCTCATGGTAAGACCTAAGCCCGGGACCGATTTACTTTTTCATTTTGATGTCCCCAGAGGCCAAAAACACCATTCGTTCAAATTTTTATATATCTATATATAGAGATATATATACAGGGTGACAAAAAAGTCTGGAAACGGTTTAATATCTTTTTAACTAAATTCTTTAGAAAATTCAAACCTTTCACATCAACTTACATGTATGAAAACTACTTTTTGCAATCATTGCCATTATTTGACCTCCCCCAGGGGACGGCCCGCGAGGAGTAGGTACATAATCTTTAATGTAATGTTAATGTTTTAATGTAAGCATAGGTTGATATGCACATCATTTTAAAGGTCTGATCAAGTGGAGTTCATTGCCAGAACCCGCGTCCAAAAAGGTTCATCCGTTACAAAATGGCAGCGGTTCAAAGTTCTTGCGGAATATACCTGCAGAGGCCTTAGTATTGGTAAATACTCATAGTCAACATTAGCAGGGAAATCTGAAACCCGGTTAAATTTGTTTTGAAGATTGAATACTATTAGTCTATGAGCTAGTTGACTTTAAAATACAGTTTAAGCTCTCAAGCTAATGTTTATTACGAGTATTTGCCCATACTAAGGCCTGTGCAGGTATATTTCACAAGAACTTTGGACAGCTGCCATTTTGTAACGGATGAACCTTTTTGACGCGGTTTCCGGCAATGAACTCCACTTGACTAACCCTTTAAAATGGTGTGCATATCAACCTATGCTTACATTAAAGATTATGTACATACTCCTCATGGGTCGTCCCATGGTAGAGGTAAAAAAATGACAATGCTTGGAAAAAGTAGTTTTCATACATGTAAGTTGATGTGAAAGGTTTGAATTTTCTAACGGATTTAGTTAAAAAGATATTAAACCGTTTCCAGACTTTTTTGTCACCCTGTATATATATATATATATGTGTCCATCCGCACGATAACTTGAGTAATTTTTGTCCGATTTTGATAAAATTTGGTTTGAAGGTGGTATAAGGCGGGATAAACTTGAACGAGTTCGCGAACCAGCATGATCGGGCTATGGGAACGGGGGTTTACGGGGGGTTTTATGGGGTAAAAACAGGTTTTTCCCATTTTTGACCCAAAAAACATAAAATTTTGCAAAATCTTTCCAAACCATTTTGTAGAGCTTAAAAAAACAAATAATTTAGTATATTGAAGTGTTACTATGCGCCTAATGGTTACGGAGAAAATTAAAAAAAAATGTAAATTTTTAATTCCCATGTTATTCTTATGGAGAACAAGTAAACTGTTGTAGTTTGCTTGTTTATGAACATATTTTGATCAAATTTGGAAAATGTTTTTATTTCTTACTAACTATTAACATTTTACAAAAAAAGCAGTTTTACCCTCCCTGATGCAGCAAACCTAAGTACGTGTTAAACTAATTCTATTTTAATAGGAAATAAATGTTAAATTTTTAAGTAGACATTTTAGTGTAAATCCAATCAGGCAAATGGAAATTCGCTTAGTCTGCAGGTTTGCTGCGGCGGGGGTATTTTAGCTGTGCTATGATTCAAAACGTTGATGTGGCAATAAAGAATTATTTATTTATTTATTTATTTTATTTATTTATTTATTTAGTTAATAATCAAATTCTCACCTGAAACAATTAGGCTAAGGTGAGGAATCTAATATTGGTGATAACATTTAAATTTATGTAGTCTACCAAGACAAAAAAATATAATTATATACAAACTAATTAAAGAAAAATACAGGATATATTTATTTCAATTTATATATGAAGAACAGTGAAACCAAATTTAAAGAGATAAATTATTTAGCATGTTTGTGAGTGCTCGTAAATGCTTGTGCCAAAAAATAGTTCTTAATTAAAGTTCTTGCATTTATTCATGTAGGACTTTTTGTTTAGGAAGAGATTTTTTCCACACCAAAACCTTACACATTCAACTTCCAAATCAAACATTTGTACATCATACAAATGACTTCTTGATCAGCATTGTACGTGTTATTAAATTTACGGAAAGTAATAAAGAGACGTCTTATAACACTTAAAACATATATTTACGCTTATACTGTTACTCACAAGACGGTAAATATACAAAAAAGATGGTAAGTGGTGATCGATTTCGATTGGACACTCCTATCATCATGAGACCCAATAGGCGTCTGATTTACTTTATTTACTTTCCGTATGATACAAATGTCCATTATGACCATTTCTTAAATAACAAACACATTAGAGGCAGTCGTACTGACCGTGAATGGAATGTGCTTGAGTGTTGGAAATCCGACAAAGTAAACATCCAGTTTGACGTTGGGACACAATCCCTTGATCAGACGACACTCCTCCACAAACAGCTGTTCTCTGTAGACGTTCTCCTCCTTGGCATGGTTGTTTACCAGGGCAGGGAAGTAGGCTGGGGAGATGTAAGCACCTACACAGGAAAAAAAAGAAGTACATTAGCGTCAAAGCGATCAAAGTGTTACTTTTAAACAGGGAAATTTTTTTCCATCAAGGCTTGCCAAAATCCTAAATTTTATTGAGTTAAAAAAGACACTTTACACAAAGATTGCACTTTACATTTAGTCTGGAGTTGTTATAATGAAACAAAACATTCTGCCAACATTGTTTTTGTTCAATCATAACGCAAACAGTTAATTTAGACGTTTATACTTTACCCAAATCTTTGAGGTTGGCCTACTAGATTTAATGCAACATATTGGGCTTTTACTACTGTTTCTGCTAGTGTTTTTTTTTATGTTATCATGTTATTTCAGTTACTGTACAGGTTCTACTGAATTATAAGCATATCTATATATCTAATTCCGTAAGCCCAAAATTTTACAATGAAATTGTGAGCGAACCGGAGGGCGTAGAAAGCTGGGAGGGGTCTCATTTTAAAGGTCTGGGCATGAAATTTTGGGGAAAATTATTCATTTTTCTTAATTATGCACCAAAAGGTTGTGACAGAATAAAATAATTCACATTTAAATAACATGGGAATCTAGGTCATGTTTGCTTTGTTTACATTAAAACATGTGGTTTAACTTTATTTAAAGCATATGGTAATATGTAATATGCACTGTAATATGTATACTAACCCTTAAGAGAGGTTGAACCTACCAATTGACTATATTAATTTAATTGCACGATCTGGAATGCCACCACACAAATTAGTTTTAAAAGTTGGTTCAATAGTGATGCTCATTAGAAATATGAAGTTAGGGTCTGGATTAGTTAATGGAGTACGATTGGTTGTGTTAGGTATTACTGGAAAAAGTGTAAAGTTAGTAGTAATTACTGGAGTAGGTAAAGGAAACGTATTTTCCATGCCAAAAATAATACTAATATCCACAGATCCTAATATGCCGTTTAAGTTTACAAGGAAAATTTTCACAAAAATTAGCATTTATTTGAAAAATTTATCTCCATGTATTTTATCTAAGTGAATTTGTCTATATTCAAAGAAATGTATATACATTTAATTAATAGTCATGAAGATTATCATTGAAAATTATCCTTAGTTGTATTATGATTAGAAAGTTTATACTATAAACACACCGCATGAAAAATCCTTTGTAATTTTTATTTTTAACAGAGCAGACCTCAAAATGCATTATGCAGGTATGTAATAACTATTATACATATTATAATATACAATAATGTTAAATGATAATCAAGGTAGGGTAACCCATGGGACTAATAATTTGTACAAAATAATTACTACAATATATACATAGGGGCTACTGCCCCTACAAGCCACTAGTGTTTACCTAATCTCTCAGGCGTGTAAGTGTAGATTTGCATTGGCCCATGTTTGTTCCGAGTCTGCTCCTCTTCCGATAATTGATTTTCCTTAGTCTCCATGGCATTTAATAAACTTTTCTGGAAAGTATAATACATTTGACTAAAACTTGTAAACACAATCCCTCTTACCCTAGTATAAGAAAGATTCATTTGTAAATTCATATTGTGTTGGTAACAGTGCTTCTTTTACCAGTGAAAGACTTTCAGAATCTACTGTGACTCTCAATATTAAGAAAGGGGCCAGTGGCCGCGAAATATTCAGGGTTTCCTTTGTGTTTTCTTTTGTGTTAAGTAAGTTAAGTGGAATGCCTACAATTTTTAAGGTAAGCCTACTTATCCTGTCCTTTGTCTCCTTAATTCTTAGGCAATAAGGCCCTTTCTAATCAAACCTAAGAATGATTCTGATTTTTAAAAGTATTCATAAACTGATGTTGATCATATTAATTAGGCTGAACTTAGGTTGGAGGCTTCAGTTAACCTTGCATTCGCCAGTCCACATAGGCCACAGGAATGTATCAAGCAAAGTAGGAGATGAGACAGTCAAGTATAGCAATAAACTAGGCTATACTGATAAATCTTTGAGACTAAATCTTAATGCCTTGGTTTCAAATCCAACGTGCTACTGACTTAAAAACCCGTTTTGCGATCTTTGTAACTATTTAAGACCATCTGGTTCATAACCGTAATCATTTGGGGGTCTGGGCTTAACTTTTACACATCGGGTCTGGTTAAAAAATTGGTCTTCAGATCTCAGACTCAAATCATGGGGTAATTATTTGGGAGTGATCTCTTTTTTAATATCAATTGCAATACTACAAGCAGTTTTGATAAAATAGGATATGATTTCCTCCATCATCATCTGTCTCCCACAATCAAATATTTACGACCTTTCCCACATCACCTACAATCACTATGATCATGCGAAATAATAAATTTTTGGTCGTGCATCTTTACAGATGCTTTCAATAATTGCAATTATAAAAAGCTCGATTTTGGGCAAAAATCATTTACAGCCCGAAATGACCTCTCAACCAAACTATTGGCTCGGCCCAACCCAATCTGAAACTATCACAATCCCATGGACAAAGACCAAGGACAGCTTGCCCAAGTTTTTAAACCATCAAAAAGGTTACTGACTCTTTTTTCAGAATTGAACTTTCTGATTACTAGGTGAGTCCTATATCTCGCCCCTTAGCTACCCTACTGTTCTTACCTGTTCAATGAACGGGATCAGAACCAAAGCCTCCCAATCCTGTTTCTTTCCATTGAGATCCGTCCTAAAATCTTTTGGGTAGAAGTCTATGATGGGAGATTTGTCATCCTCCATTAGATCATGGTAGGGTTCTGGCAGCAGCTTCTTACTACAAACACGCAAAGTTACATATGAAAAGTTACACAAGTTTAATAATTACTAGGGGTCTGCGGTACAGAAAATTTAAGGTCGGTACGGTTCGGTACGGTACAATATTTTGTACCTCGGTTCTCGGTACAAAATCGGTACGGTACGCGGCTACCCGTATTTTTGCGGTTTTCTTCTCAGAACTGTATCTAAACCATTATTTTTAACTTTAATACATAGACATTACTATGAAAATGGATAGTATCCTACATTCATGGTTTTCTAACAACAATTACTGTACCACATATTATTAAAACAAAACCTTTTACTACTACGAGGATTGTGTCAAGAAAAATCACAGTTGAGATAAAGGCTTTACCTATTTTACTCTGATATACTTTGAATAGCCATGATAAAGTAGTTTAAAAATAGGATAAGAGTTTTTATGAATAAACATGTTTGAAACATTTATTGACAAGATAATTTCACAAAACTGGTAAATTATTTCCAACCAACACAATGTCTAGTTGTTTTTTTTTTATTATTTTAAAAACATATAAAAGCATTCAGTAGAAGACAGTGTGGTTTTGCCAGCTGTTCACAGCAGATGACAATGAAAAACTGGAGGTTATGATGAAGTACTGGCAAAGACCATTTTTTTTTATCAGCTTCAAAACTAGTTAAGTTAAAATGGATACAATTCTTGCAAAGTTTTTTTCTGAAACTAAAATTTGGATTATCACAGAGTAAGATTTTATGTTGGGCAATTAGACTTTATAACTGTGTAAAAGGTGTGTATCCCTGAATTTATAAATTGCATTCTACACTTATTCACTGCCAAACATAATTCAGTAGAACCTTGATGAACCGAGAATTACACTAGCCTACAGAACTTCATTACCCCAAGTAAAATACCAAGATAATTTTTATAATTGTATTTTAATCATATAATCTTAGTTTGTTAAAAATGGATTGTATGTTCAACAATAATTGCAGTCCATTATTGTTAAGCAGTATGGTCCCAAATTATTGTTTTTGATTTTGAAACATCACAGTTCATTTGACAAAATTATAGTTGAAGCAGCTCAATGTCAAGTCAAAGTCACGCTTGTGCAATAGTTTGTTTACATGCTTTCTCCAGACCACGGGGGAGGGGAGGGTCTGATAAGCCGTCTATTGTTCACCCCCAAGAAGGTCCGACCCTCATTAGTGCCGCTCGGCTGCACTCAGTGGGGAACCCAATACCACAAAACAATCTTTTAAATGAATACAAATATTTTGTAATAATTGTTTTATTAATATTCACCTTGAAATTTCAATAAATTTGGTGTAAAATTTCACAAAAATCTGCCATTTGGACCGATTATTAATACAATACCAAATACCAATAAAGTAGTACATTCATTAGTAATTAAATAATAGGTAAAAATTTACCGATTTTCGTCAAGTTTTACCCCCTGCTGTGTGCTATGTCACAAAAGCTGATAACGACATGGGTGATTAGTAACCATGGCAACTTGTTGAATGCGTGATGAAGGGAAACCCAAGAAATAGAAGAACAAAGAGAAAGAATAGACGTTATTATCTTTATACCCTTTTTACAATTTCCGTTATTGTTATCTTTATGTAAGATTTTATGATTTTGTTTTATAGGTTTATAAAATAATTCTGTTTAACTACGGGAATATCAATTTATAATTTATCAACGTGCTTCTCTTCTGAAACAGCAATACCGGATGCATAATGAAGGTCAATGGCCTAAAATATCATGATTGTGCAATATTGTATTTTGATGTTGAAATTAAAATCACGACAAAAGTTTGTATAGGTATATCCATGGTCGTCAATAGACAGATAAAATATCCATAACAAATATTTTAATTTATAAAATAAGATTGTAGATTAGTTACAAGTTTAATATGTAGCCATAAACAGTTTTATGGCAGTAGGCAATGGCCAGCGGCAAATTCAATATTCACGAAAATACTGATTAAGTTAGAGATAACATTTAACAGTCATCATAAAACTATTATTTTTATGATAAAACAGAATTGGGGAAAGTCGTAAAGAAATAAAAGTGATAAAACTCAACAGTTCTTGGAAGTACTTCAATACAACAATTATTGTCGTGATAAAATGTTAATGGATTTGGGACTGCTAATGGGTTTTTTATTGCATCATCACGCTAGTAATAAATTATGAAGATCGTAAACAAACATCTGATAAGACTTTTATGTGCTTGGAACCAACTGCCGTTGACTACGATAGTAAACTGAAAGTAATTTATTATTATAATAGGCTGTACCGAACCGAATTTGTACCGTGTAAAATGCTGTACCGAACCGATGACGGTAATTAAGCTTGTACCGTACCGTACCGACTTTTTCGGTGCACCGCAGACCCCTAATAATTACTATTATTTAGTCTCTTATTTTATTTTTACTTCCAGCATGGTAAATCCACTTAAGCAAAATATTTAATTTAAGACTAGCTCATAAATGGACTGTTGCATTTTAGACTGGCCTCACTGCTTGTTGTGTATCAACTGTCAAATTATAATCCGTAACTATGAATTGATTAATTAATGTAATGAAAATAATGCTATCCCATTGCTTATAATTGTGTTGAAATCCATATGTTAGCCCCTGAGCTGTAACTTAACCAAAAATAGGCTTTACCTTCGTCAATATAGCTCAAATGGTGTAACTGAGTTGGTTACGGCCGTTTTGGCATTACAATGCCATCATCAGACAACAAAATCTCGGCTGAAGTAGCGTCGTTGAAGTTAAAACACACCATAACACACAAACAATACGAATTTACGAGCTGCATTTACGAAGGTAAAGCCTATTTTTAGCTATACTTATGGCTGATAGCAAAATAAAAAAAAACCTTTACTATTTTATTTTCACAGTCCTGTAAAAATATGTTTATAATGCATTTAAATGAAAATTGGAAACTTTAAGACTTAAAAAACGAATTAACAACCTGATTGTTTATAAAAGACTATATTTCACTGAGAAATATCTGAAGTATTTAGATATACACAAAGATATTCAACGATAATTAATATCATTGTTTATTGAATTTTAAATATGATAAGACCAAGCATACGCTACTCCTGCATTGTTAGGATTGATCACACTTGCACTATACACTATACAAAACCACACCAATGTTATCTACCTAGCAGCTGGAAGAACAGCTAAAAGTTGCTGGAAGGGCAGAAATGGTTGACCCAGATCGTACTCCAACTTGAGTTCTGAGAAGTTACGAATGTCGGATATATACGGAGCGTAATGGTGGGGGTAGAACCATGACCACGAGCAGCATCCATTGTAGTAGTAGTTCAGATTCCACTGGATAGCCCGCACATAGCCTTCTGCTTGGTCTCGTAGAACCTCCCTGTAGAAAAGAGGAAGAAGTGAAAATCAAATTTAGATTAAGAGTCAGTTTCAAGCTCCCTCTGGTGATAAGTCCGCCCTAGTGTTGAAAAAAAATATTAGCCAAGGTGGCCAAGGGATAGGAGGAAAAGAGGGAAAACTGATCATAATAAGTAAAAGATTGATGTTTTTAGCATTTGTCAAGAACAAATCCTTGTAGACAATTCAATTAAATAAATAATTTATTTTCATTTTGTTTGAGTTAAGCCTCCGAATCCCTTATCAATACGTGTACTGGTGGAATTACTTGCTGTCAAGAGATCCTTGTGACCTTGAAAGGCCCGGTTTTGATCCTCTTGGGATCATCTGCAGGCGTATACTTCATTTTGTTCTTGCGAACACTTTGATTTTTAAAAACATTGAGTCATCGTTTTACAAAACACTTAAACACAAATCACGTAAAAATGACCAATAACTATTACTGATCCGTCAAGTGACGGGCGACACGGAAGTAGAGTCTAGACTCTACAGGCGGACGTTGTCATCTCCATTTTGTTCTTGCAAACACGTTGATTTTTAAAATAACATTGATAGTTTTACAAAATACTGATACACCAAACACATATAAATGGCCAATAACCATTACCAATCGATCAAGCGGCGGGCGACACGGAAATAGAGTCTAGCGGCTTTACAAAATCGACAAAAATTAAAAAAAAATCACAAAAATCTATGTGTTTGAAAAAACTAAAGGAAGATGTGTTTGAAAGAACTAAATGAAGATGACGACGTCTGTCTGAAGATGATCCCATGAGGACCGAAACCGGTCGCCTTTCAAGGTCACAAGAATCACTTGCCAGCAGGTAATTTACCAGTACACGAAATAATGTATTCTTAATTTTACCAAAAAGAAGGAAGAAAGTAGGAAAAAAGTAGGAGAAATAGAAGATTCAACTGAAAAAAAGGAAAAAGAATATAAATGAGTTGTTGATAACCAACAAAAACTCTTTAATCAGACCCTTGGTTACCTTTATTAATAAGGAATATTTGGAACCATGCAATGTAATACTTTTACACTCAAATGAAAAAAGGAAACTTTGAATCTAAACACTTATAATTAACTATTGCATGTTTCTTATAGAAGCTACTCACGGAGTGACATTGTCATATTCAAGTTTCTCCCTGTAATAGTTGTTCTTGTGAGCACAGAACTCAGTAAATGAAGTTCCTTCTTCATCATCACTATCGCCCTCCTCATCATCTTCTGAGCCTTCCAGATACTGCAAAACAGAAAACTGAAGGAATATAACAAAACTGTTCATAATACCAGTACCCAACACTCGAGGGGTTACTTATAGTCAAATTTTACCAGCATGAAATATATGTGACAACACTAGAATGATGTAGTATGCGGCTGTTATCTATTACTTGGTTAGAAAGAAAGATATTCCCAAGGTAAAATTGTTTAATTTAAGAGTTTTTATCGTACATACCTCAGCAGTAGAAGCTATTAGAGCAGCCAAATCTTTGTTCTTTGGTGGTGAAGGCAGTTCTTCCTCTTCCTCTTCATTCTGGAAATAAATATTCCTTAAAAATGCACCATCTCACTACAAAAGAAAATGTAACTTAAACACAAGTCAATGCAACCTTTGCAATATTGTCAACATATCCAACAGTTGTTGTCACAGAAAGGATAAACAGGTTTAAATACTTATGTGACCTTTATATGTTACATAAGTAGTTGAGGTAGTAAGCAATTATTTTACCTTTGCAATTATTGTACTTTCTGTTAGATGCAAGAGACCTGTAATTTTGTGGGTTCCTAGAATGGTGGGCTTACAGTTATTTGTTGGCTTAAGATCAGCAGATTGCATTTATTATCAACTTCATTTGTGTTTGGTGAGATGTGAACATGAACCTCCTTAGTAGAATGTCAGCACTCTAGTAACTAGACCATCGGCCCTTTACCACTATTGCAGAAAACCATCCCTGTTAATTTACCTTAGAGTAACTGGAATATTAAGTAAGATATGGACAGTGTATTAAACATTAAAAAACAAATAAAACTTTATACTAACACTGTGACGGCCGGATTTGCGGCCAGTCTTGCTTTCCAAGTATTTCAGGTCCGCATTAATCTCCTTGAACTGCTCAAAATCAAACGCAGCCAACTTCTCCATGTACTTCTGAAACCTTTCGAGCCTCAGGTGACCTCCCTCGTTGATATAACCTGTTATAAAACCGTAACTTTGAACATATGTCTTATTAGGTTAAGTTGGGTAAACTTAGGAGTCATTGCAAAATGTTTAGTGTCATAATAACCTACCAAAAAAAGGAAAAAAACAAAAATACTTAGAGCCAGTTAGGCATTACCTACAGTAATTCAGGCTCGCACAGACTAAACTGTCTCAGTACCTGACGAATCCTTGACTCCTAATTTAAGCATTACCTCTGTAAAAAAGTCTAATAAATGTTTTATAACTGTCAGTCAGAACTCGTGCTGTTTTTTAATGCCACAGTGTGTTGCTATTCTAGTGGTTCGGTGCAAGAGAAACAAATTCAATCCCCGAGGTATCCAGAAAAACTTGAGGTACTTGAACATCTTTCCCAAAAAACATTTACATAAGCCTACTTTCATACAAAATGCCACTGGCACAATGAAAAAGTGTAAATAATTTTAATGTTTTCCATACTAACTAGAGTTTGAAAAATTTGAATACTGTAACATTACACACAAAACAAACTCGGGAGCAGTAAGGCTGTACAAGCTCACCTCCTAGTGTAGGCAGCACTTCTATATAAGTCCTATACAGGATGGGGAGAGCACCCTTGTTGATATGTAGATCTGGCAGATGAGGGATGAAGTCATTACCTACAAGGAACCCCATCAGCACCTTAAACACACAAGATAAGGAAGTCAGTGCATTGAGGACAACATAAAAAACGTTAGCCATATGTAGGCCTATCTTAATCGCTGCAATTAACAATGAATCCAAATTCTTGTTATTAACTATATTTCATGAAAATATTTATAGATAAATGTGTATACACTTTATATTGAAGTAAAAATGCATATATTTCACATATCAAAGCTTAAACATAACATACAATAATTTTCTGTGACAAAATCAACTTACCCAGTCATCAATTATGTGCTCTAAGTCATAGGGGAAGGGGAGTGCTGTTTTCAATGCTTGAAATTCCAAGTCAAGATATTCTCTCATAAGAGAGAGATGAAGAAGGAAAAAAGTTGTTTCTTCCGGAGTCGGAATTCTCTTCTGATTGTTTTTCTTCCCATACTTAACCTACAAAACCCGATACACCATTAAAATACTAAACCAAATTATGTTACATAAATTAAATTCATAAACGTAAAGATCCGATACTCCTAATCAGACTCATAAGAAGTGGTAGCTTTTAATAACATTGTTGGACCTAGGCAGCTACCTAGTGGGGCACTATTTATGACTAAATTTATTTTCTGATTCCTTAAAGTTAATTAGAAGGAAACCAAGCTAACTGCCTCAAGTTAGAGATAAGAAAACTGGCATACACTTAGTTTTTGACACATTTAATGTCAATGTATTATGATCCAGCCAATTCTTTATTTTAAGTAAGTCAGATGCAGCTTGATGGTAAACATCGTCCCACGTGTTACCCAAGGACACTACAGCTGTGTCGTCAGCAAAAAGAAACAATTTACCATTGACTCTTAATTTAGTACTTACTTACTTTCCGTGTCCGGAAATCAGACTTCACTTTCCAAAAATTAGCTACCGATATGGCTTTGTCATTCGCTTGTAAAAGATCATCTAATGTGCAAGACTGGTCTAGGCGTGGACAGATCAGCAGATGGCCAGGATCCTGAACAGCACCACACGCGCACAAGATGTTTTCTTCATCTGGTAAGAGACCCCATTTCTGCATGTTTATCTTGCATTTTGATACCTTGGCCCTGATTCTATTTAGGGTCTTCCACACCATGTAATGAAGGCCTCCACCAGGAGCCAGTTCCTCCCTGGCTGGTATGGGAGGGTTAGTCAACGTGGCCTCCCACCTTGCCACCCGATTGCTTGAGAGTGATCCATCCAGGACTCATGTCCGTGATAAAAAGCTCTTTCTGGACCGAAGCCGTCGCTCTGCAGGTTGGTGGCCGTGTAATGGGTGACGAGGGTCTGTCTCTTGCTTAGTCCTTTCTGCGTCGGCAGCGACATCAAGTCAGATTGATGGAGGGGCGATCCCTACGATAGGATAGAGTTTGTGTTCTGGGGTTGGTTTCAAACACCCAGTTACAATCCGAGCCATGTCATTGACTGCAATGTCAACCTATTTGCATGTCACGATGCATTCCAAACTGGTGCAGCGTACTCCGCAGCCGACACACTGAGCGCTAAAGCTGAGGATCTGAGGACATTAGGGTTAGCACCCCAGCATCTGCTGGTGAGCTTCCTGATGATATTATACCTCGCTGAGACTTTACCTCTTGTCGCAATACAATGCGCCTTAAATGTCAGTGTGCGGTCCAGTATGACACCAAGATATTTGGGTGTAGGACAATGCTGAAGACGGTCTCCCCGCCACCTCACATTCAACTCACGGCCTGCTTCTCTATTGTTTAGGTGAAAGGCACAAACTTGGGTCTTAGCAGGGTTCGGCTTGAGGTGATTTGCGTCATAGTACTGGGAAAGTTCATTTAGAGTCATAGTCAGCTTCTGATCCACCTCTTCAAAACTCCTACCTTGTGCCGCCACTGCCGTATCATCGGCATAACATACTGACGTGTAGCGTCTGGCAACGGTTGGTCGTTAGTGTAAATGTTATAAAGAGCTGGGGCTAAGACGCTACCCTGAGGCAATCCATTTCTTTGATTCCTCCATCTACTTTTCTTGCCTTGAAGGGACACAAAAAATCACCTGTTATGAAGAAAAGTGCCCATGATTGAAGTCAGCTGATAGTCTTTGGTATTGATGTACACTTTTCCCAAGAGTCTTCGATGGTTTACGGTATCGTAGGCAGCTGTTAAATCTACAAAAGCGACACCCGTGGTATGTAATAAATTATCTTTTGATTTTTATGGCCATCTAACATTATTGCTGTCACTTGGAGCATGGCATATTTTTAATCGTGTAATTTAATTCATCAGTAGTTATTTAGGGTAAAAATGATTAACAGTTCATTGACTGATTGGCCCTTCAAACCACTTACCTCCTCCCGCAGCAGAGAGAAGTGAGGCTCGTGTGTACACAGCCCTAGCATGATCAGATCAGCGTCCAACCCGTACAGACAGTGACGAGTGTTGGGGTCATAATCTGGCTGGGACTTCATGTAGCGAATGTACTCCATGATCTTATGTTCCCCTTCTCCTGGCACCTGTTACAAACACCACAAGTTGATTTCTAGTCTCATTATAACATCTTTTGCCTGTTCTTATGTGTTTGGCATTCAGGGTCGCCTAGAACTATTTTACATCACGAAAATATACCTATTCTTTTCCACAAATCTGCATCATTGTCAACCCCAATACTTAGAGGCCGTACACAAATTACGTAACGCACTTAGGGGGGGGGGGAGGGGGTATGGCATAGCGTTACGCTGCGTTATATGGGAGAGGGGGGGGGGCTTTGGCTCAACGTTACATAACAGACACATTCCTCTTTAAAATTACAAAAATAATCAAATTGATTTTTAAACCAAGAGCACAAGGGCCTAGATTATTTAGGATTTTTTGAGAGGATAGCAGGCTTACCTGAATGGGAAAGAGTCCAAACTGGCACAGGAAACACAAAACAAAACTTTACACTATATACACAAAACATTAGAATATTTCACTGTCACTGACAGCATTTTCAACTAAGGAAGAGAGAGTTTTCTAGATGTCCAAAATGGTGGCCAGTGAGTTGTTGGGTCAGTGTTGCCAATAGTATGAATTCAAAAAACACAGTGAAACTGTGAATTCATACTATTGGCAACACTGACTTTGGACTTGATAGTTTGGACTCTTTCCCATTCAGGTAAGCCTGCTATCCTCTCAAAAAATCCTAGGCTAAATGATTTTTAAACCAGTTTGTTATATAAAAAGATACGGAAAGTCTTGATCAAGTTTCTGCTTTGCTTTACAGCTTAGTTTTTTGTAATTGTTTTTAAGTGTAAAACCACAAAATGATACAGTATTGCGCAGTGCTGCAGTGGGTTTGTGTGAGGGACCTGGGCTAGGAATGTTGATGATTTATCCATATTCCATATTCTATAAGTAGAATTATGCTTAAGCTGTAATTAAAGTCTACTATGATCGAGTTACGTAACAAAAGGGGGGAGGGGGGTTCGCTCAAGTGTTACGGTGCGTTACATAGGGGGAAGTGGGGGGTTTAAAATTACAAAAAAGTGTGTTACGTAATATGTGTATGGAACTAAATAGCTTTAATTTAAATTTAAATACAGTAGTCTTCCCATTTTATCAAAGTATATTATTTAATTTATTACCCCCCCCCCCCCAAGTGTGTTACGTAATTTGTGTATGGCACCTTTGTTCTTATATCCTAAATCACAAACAAAACTGGGAAAACCAAGAGTGCTAAGTGAATTTTGATGACCGGAAAAAGTCTATGAAGTTTGTAAGAAACCAGAAAGTTGGAATAATTGTTAAGGTAAGTATGAATAAGGTCCTTCAGTGGTATGAAGAACGTAATTGCTGCAGGTAATTACTGACACAGATATGCCAGCAAAATGTCTCACGTGTTGCCATGATCTCAGGTAATCCCAAGCGCAATTAATGGCCATTTACAGTGAAATCTACAGTTTAGATTTTTGCTTGCAATTTCACAACATTTTCAGCCAACATAAACAATTTGGCAATCCGAACAGTGTCATTGCCTATTGATTTAAGACTCTTGTGTACTGAACTGTGGCTCTAACATTTTCCCACTATTGCTTCTAACTATAGTGGATAGGAAATTTGTTATTGGCAGTTTTTAACTAGGTATTTCATTTTTTAGTCCTGACAAATATCCATGCCACAGAAAATGCCTTTGAATAAAAATCAAATGACTTTTGTTACTCCCTGGTAAAAATTTGTGGATTTTCAGTGACTTGAGTTAGTTACCAATACCCATAAGTATAATAAGATCCATTTGAAAAATTACTGTAAAAATATAAAAATGTCTTCTACATAGCCTACAACACCACTCGCCTCATGTCCAGATAGGATGACCTTGGCCTTCTGCCACAGTTTATCACTGCTCATCTTCAGAGTGACAAAGTACTTAAGCTGAGCCTGTAGCCTAGTCATAAACTCCGTCCCAGGAGTGATACAGTTAGAGTCGAATCTCTCCGCCGAGGGCAGCACCTCGCCTTTCTCTCTTGCCCTCGCTTCAGCCATTTCTGCGTCCTTAGCTGATCGGAACCTGTCGACATAGTGCAGATACATAAATATTTAGCAAAATTTAATTCCACAATATATTCAAAAAAATTGCTGTTAAATATTCTAAATAAGTCGTGCTGTAACCCAAATGTTACTAACATCAATCAGGAGGGTGTAAAAACATTACACTCTCCTGTTTTTTTATTAATTATATCAGCTTTTAATTGTTAGGAATTTATGTTCTACTGTTTAAAACAAAATCAACAGAAACTATTTAGCCTTGAACTTATCTTAAATTTTAGGTCATATAAACTATGTGATTAAAGTCTCTTAAGTATGAGATCACTAAATTAAAAAAAAAAAAATACCCCCGCCGCAGCAAACCTGACGCCTAAGCGAATTTCCATTTGGCTGAATTGATTTTCCATTGATCTATTTAAATAACATTAGGTTTAACGAGTACCTAGGTTTGCTGCTACAAGGAAACTAATAAAGTGTGTGTTTTAAGTAAAATAATTATTGCTTAGTATAAAATGAATATATTTGCCAAGTTTGATCAAAAGATATCCATAAACAAGCAAACTACAACATTTTACAATATTCTCCATAAGAATAACATGGGAATTTTTAATTTACCATTTTTTTTAGTTTTCTCCGTAACCAATAACCGTACAAAAACACTTTGATATACTGAATTGTTTGTTTTTTTAAGCTCTTTAAGAAGGTTTAGAGAAAAATTGGGAAATTTTGTGTTTTGAGGGTCAAAAGTGAGAAAAACCAATTTTTACCCCATAAAACCCTGTTCCCATGGTCCGATCATGCTGGATCGCGAACTCATTCAAGTTTATCCCGCCTTACACCTTCAAACCAAATTTCATCAAAATCGGATAAAAATTACTCAAGTTATCGTGTTCACGGACACATATATATATATATATATATACATATATAAAAATTTGAACGAGTGGTGTTTTTGGCCTCTGGGGACATCAAAATGAAAAAGTAAATCGGTCCCGGGCCTAAGTCTTACCATGAGACCTACGGTAATAGCTATTTCCCTATAGGGAAATTCGCTAAAACAACAAAGAGATAAAGGAGTAAAAATTGTTGATGAAGCAACAAGAAAACATCCAGTATACCAATGCAACAAAATATGAATTGATAAATACTAGCCTATATATCCAAAAACTACCTACCTCCGTCCACGTTGCTGGTTCATTTTTGCACGAGGAGCGACTCCATCAACGGCCATAAAGAATAGCTTTTGCGGTTGGATCATTCTGAACAAAGTCTGTAAACAATATGTTTTTTTGAATGTCATTGCTGATTCATTAACAGTCAACAGCTGGCTAGTGTTTCAGACCTTCTAAAAGGAAATTCCAACTAACTGAATTATGGACTATATTTTTTGTCAGGCTGCAATTCTTTACACTAAATGGTCCAAAAAACATAAATGTTGACATTTAATGAATAGCTCCTGATATTATTTCTATCTTGTTATGCTATTATACAGGGTGTTTCAAAAAGGACTTTACAACTTTGAAATTTCATAAAAAATTATTCCAAAAAGTTACAGATATTTGCTTGTACAAGCAATCAAAGACACTGACAAGATCGCCCGTAAGAACTTCTGTGTGTATATGCTAAACCGAGTGGCTAATGATGAACAATTCTTGGACAACATAACCTTTTCTTAGTCAACTTTTCACCTTAGTGGTTGTTAACACACATAACTGTAGGTTTTGGGGCAGTGAAAATCCACAAGAGACATTGCATTTAATTCGTAATAGCCCTAAAGTAAATGTTTTTTGTGCGTTGAACAAGAAGAAAATGTACGGCCACAAAGAAAATCTTTGGTTTAGGTAAAAAAAAAAACTAAAGTGTTTTCCTTTAAAACAACACCAAAACCAACTCTGTACCTTGTTTCATTAAATTTATAAGAATTTTCAATGTTGTAAAGTATTTTTTGAAACACCCTGTACGGTACATATACAATCAGCTCCTTACCATCATTTAGTTGCAATTCTGTATTGTATATTAATTATATTATAGTAGGGCCTATATATTACTCTGCTAACACAATAATATGTACCGTACATTCATTGGCTAAATTTAACTATTTTCATGATGGGTTCGATCGAAAATTGCAATATAAAATGGTTCACGTTACCTTTTGCGCAAAACCATTTTATATTTAACTAGGCCTACGGTATACTTTAACTCTCTTACAAATCAAATTGTCTAAATGAAATTAATTAGGCCTAGTGAAATAACAATAACTAAGATACAATGATAAACACATAAAAATTTTACTAACAACATGAACATGACACATTTTTGTTACGACTGCTTCCTTTGATAAAATAACAGTTTGGATTTTAAAGCTATAACAAAATAATGTAATGCACTGTCCAACTCGACTCGCAACTTAGGGCCTATTCTTTTTTTTTATCTTAGGAGAAAATTACTTTCACAACACATGTATTGAAAACCATGGGTTTTTATGACAAAAAACTCAAAAGTATATATTCTGCATCCCTTTTATACATTTTCAAAAAAATCGCACATTTGACACTTACAATAGTACAGTATATGAAACGTTTAGAAATTATTCTAACAGTCAGTAAATAAATATTTACCTCTATATAATGAAATATATCTCTGAAAATCTTCTCTTCTGTAATTCTAAAGTGCGGATCAGCATCATTGGGATGAGAACAAATATGAATAATTCCATTCATGTCCAAATACAAGTTGTCAAACTCAGGAAGCTACAACATAAACAAATTAAAAATATGTAAAACATATATTAATAATTCATGATTTATTAAAGCTTGGGTCTAAGCGTATCAGTAAACAAAGCCATGAAAGTAAAGTTAAAAGAAAATGTCATGGATGTTTTTCGGGTTGAAATTTTCAGATAATAGTCTAAATGGAGAGAACTAACTTAAAAACACAAGAAATTACGGCAAACTATTCTATACCTAGATGCCTCCACACAATTTTATACCTACTTTATTTTTTATAGTTTTTTTACTAGCCTAAGAAGCTCTAAGTAATTGTATGGTCAATAATGTTTCCTTTAAATGAAATTCTGCCCCATTATTGGGATATAGATAAACTGTCAGACAATTTAACTTACATGTGGTCCTTATTTAGTAGTAAGCACAGGATACCAGCTAGTCATTACATAGCCTAAATAAATAGCCTAAATAAAATCTAGTCTGCATAATTCAAGCACTCAAGGTATTACCCCCGCCACAGCAAACCTGCCGACTAAGCAAATTTCCATTTGTCTGAATTGATTTTCAATTAAATCTATTTAAATAACATTAGGTTTAAAAACGAGTACCTAGGTTTGCTGCTACAAGGAAACTAATTAAGTGTGTTTTATTACTAAAGTAGGTATTAGCCCACCCCAAGTTTTGGAATTTTCCCAAAAAATAAATAAATTAGCCAAGTTTGGTCAAAATATATCCATAAACAATAAAGCAAAAGAATTTTACAATATTCTCCCTAAGAATAATATGGGAATTTTAAATTTACAATTTTTATAGTTTTCTCTGTCAACAATAACTGTACAAAAACACTTTGATATATAGGTAGGTACTAAATTAATTTGTTTTTTTAAGCTCTTTAAAAAGGCTTATAGATAAATTGAAAAATGTTGTGTTTTGAGGGGAAAAATTAGAAAAACCAATTTTTACCCTATAAAACCCCCGTTTCCAGCCTTATGGAATTTTATCCAGCCTTACACCTTTAAACCAAAAATTAATGCTATTTTAATACATAGGTATTTTAATCTTGTATATTAAAACGTAACAGGGTTTTTTTATTTCATGATTCTAAATCAACCACTCGATGGATTTTCATGATTTTTGTGTTGAAAGAAAGACAATTTTGAGAACTAGGGAATGTCGAAGCCATAATTTTAGTTTAGGGTTCCAGTTCTTTAGAAATTAGGTTTTAAATTTTAAAAAGTCTAGCAGCCGACACTAACATTCCAAGCTAGCTTTTGGTATAATATAATTTGCTTAACATAACAGCTGTAAACATTCAGCGTTTGTGACACAAATTCGTCATTTGGATAAATTCTTTGGTAAGAGCAGAATGTCAGGTTATTTTACATAATAGATAGTTAAATACTAGATTTTCAAATTATTTTTAAAGCAATCTTTAAACTCTTCTGTTTGTTTACTAATAGCTGGTTGAATATAAAAATATTATAGAACTGTGAGGTTATTTTTTTACTCAATGATTTTGTCATTGATTATAGGAAATAAGTAAGGTTAGTAGTGATCTTTAGACCATAGAGATAGGTAAAACCATTGCTGGATCGAGGCTCTGCCCAAGAAGTCTTAAAAGAAAAGGATATGCAAATTATTTTGCTGCTCGACTTTTTGAGGAGAGAGTAGGAAAATAACAATGTTTACATGTTTTAATTCATCTTGGTAGCTTTTTGTTTACAATAAATGTGTGACTGCTTAAAGTTTGTTTGGATTAGGTCTAGAAATATTGATATTATCATAAAAGAAGATCAAGAATCATGATTTTGAATTACCACTACAACCTTATACGGATTATATCCAGAGATGAAATATATTGAACACATCATTATCATAGAAATTGTCACAACTGCTGTTTTATTGTAAAATTATCAGATTTAAAATGCATATCGTATTGGCCTATATTGGGATGAAAACATTTTTGGTCGCGTGACATTATTTTACTTGATGATTTTTCACATTATAACTGCAAGACATTTTTTCTTTATACGTGTAAGCTAGCTGTTCTGACTTATAGACAGTTTTAACCACGAATATTAAAAAGACCGTTTTAACTGACTACTCGATTCCCGTACGTAGGACAAATTCTTTTGACCCGATTTATTAGGCTAAGTTAGCCTAACCTAATATTGAACACAAGAATAGGCCTATCATGACAACAACAACAATATTATTCTAGTTGGGCTCTGAACTGATACGAGTATTATTCCAAAAGTAAGGTACGGTTAAGAAAATCAAATAAAAATTAAACTTGTAAATATGTATATATTTTAGTCAAGTGTTTTCATGTTTTAATGACGCCATCAATCCCCCATGGGGTAAAAGATGAAGAACCGGTAGTCTGTGTCGGAACGCTTGCCACCAAGAAACTCCTTTAGGTAGCGGAACAAGTGGAGATCTAAAATAGTGAATCGTTGATCTTCACAAATATTTTGATCAACCGCATTTGACCAACTGTTCTGAAATCACTGATGGTCGGCCAGACTGTAATTTATCATACCCTTTTTCCTGTCCTTCATTAAAAGCTCTCGTACCCACTTGCGCACTTTACTGTCACTCATTATGTTAGGACTGTAAATTTCATTCTGCAGATTGAATTTCTGACGTTGAAACGTTTCTTGCAGACAAAAACTGTATCACTGCCCTTACTTTAACTCGGCGGACCGATCAATTGTCTTAAACATTGTGAACTGACACTAAAAACACCAAACAGCCAACAATATCAATACTAGTGTCGGTGCTTAATGCACAAGGCATGCCAGGAGTCGGCGTGCATGCTTGTTTTCTCCATAGTGCCCACTTCAAACAGTTACAGTGAATTGGACCTTACTTTTGGAATAACCCTCGTAGTAAATAAGTTAAATACGATGGAGTTGGATAAAAGTACCACCATACATAGGCTAGTTTACCAATCCTAAAAAGAGACCCCTACTGCCGCTTTGAGTCTCCAGAACTTGGGTTGGGTGCATTATATAATCTACACAAGGTTGAGATGTTGTTCCTAATTTTGCAAACTGCGAGTCAAATGCGCTTGCATGCTTGACAGTTTGTAAAATACAATGTTAACCGTTCAAGATGCTTAGTTTCAAAACCAACTGCTATTAGTAGATAGCACTCAACCAAGGAAACGGCTCACTTGAGTAAAAAAATAAAAATAAATATAGGCCTAAGTTAATAAATAGATAGCCTACTATAATATATCAACTCAAAGTGATATGAATAACCAATCTCTCTCTCTCTTAAATCTACGAAGGGTGCCGTATAAAACGAGTGCGAATCCATCTGGTACAGCACTGGTTGTGACTCAAATAGGGCGACTCAAACGAGGTCGATATAATTACCGAACTGGAGACAAAAGTAACTTACTTTCAAGAGTGTTCCTTGCTGATGGAGTCACCAGAGCTTTGGTGCTATACAGCTAAGAATTGAACTCGAGTAGGCCTGGTCACGGTATCGAATTGAAATTTAATTGAGTCGGCAAAGTAGGCTCACTCGACTCGTCACATCACTAATTTTGGTTTAGCTAAAATAGACCTAAGCTTAACTTACTGAGAAAGAATCTCCCCCAAGGAATAGAGGATGAAAATTATAGCTAGCTGGCTAACACACAATTTAAAAATGAAGGGTGTTCAACAGTTTTATGAAGCCCATAGGCCTAAGTTTAAGCCTAGGCTAGGCATAGATTCCATGATGTCATGAACCCAATACCAAGGGCTTAACCATTTTAGGCCTGGCTGTGTAAATGAGTGTTAGAGGATTTGAATTACATAGCCTTCATTTTGAACTAAACCCTAAAACTTGACTAAAAATATACCTAATCAGTTGTAATGCATTATCAATCCCAATAATAGAGCTCACCTGGTACTCCCTTACTACTTCACTAAGACACGGATATCTTTCACTAATATAACGAAAGAACTTTGGAACACCCATGGTGATTCTTGTTCGTAAGATGCTTCAGGGCTTTATAATACACAATAACAAAAAAATGTACATTAACTTATGAACTTAGACATAATAATAATTATTGATACTTTGCCATTTCTAGGCTAAGCAATATTGCCCATGTTTGTTCTTCTGCTGCTGCTCTCCAACTCTACGCTGACGCTCTCGCTCTGACTACTACTGACTGAGAGTTGACTCTATGAGTAATGACTGACTGACTGACTGGACTGGGCCTGGGACTGGACTTAGTCAAGGCCACACTAAAAAAACACCGTACTTAATTATAAATGGACTTTCCTCCCAGATTAACCGAACAGAATAACAGAATACTAAATCCACTTTGTTAATTATTGTTTGAAAATAACCTTTATTGGCTCCTATCCTGTATTTTCTTTAAAAAGTACAGTCGTGTATGAAGAGCATCGATCTCTAAAGGAACGGGCCAAGGCACACCACGTCAACCAGCCACCAAAGAGAAGAAGAAGTTTGAGGGGGCGGGTGACGTGGTGGCTCATTGTTGGGGTGGCACGTTGACTTGTGCATACACGACAGCCCGCCACCTCGGATAAATGTGTGGTGGTGGGTTGTCGTGGTGGCACGTTGTCATGGTGGTGCATTCACGTCAACCAGTCACCTCTTTAGTGTGGTGGTGGGTTTACGTGGTGGCTGGTTGACGTCTACGTGCGAGGTGGCGAGTGCCCTCCATCATTGTTGGGCTCGTTCCTTTGAAAATAGGAGTATCTATATAATTTGAAACTGTTTTTCTTTGTCACAGCTATTTTGAGAGAACGGCTGGGTGTAGAAACTCGGTAGAGGTGTCTAAAGAAAGGTCTTGGTCTGTAGATGAGCCATCAAAAGAGAAACATGAAGAATTTCCTTGGGGCTCTGCCCCCGTGGCCTTTAAATTCCCATCCCATGTTATTCTTATGGAGGAAAATGGGGGTTTTGTCAGAGCTAATTTGAGAGAACGGCTGGGCGTAGAAACTTGGTAGGGGTCTCTAAAGAAAGGTCTTGGTCTGTAGATGAGCCATCAAAAGAGGAAAGAGGTAAATTCCCTTGGGGCTCTGCCCCAGAAGCCTTTAAAGTTGCCTCTTCAGATTTGTTTACATTATGACCATATTCATAATTCTACACTACTTTTTAATGCAACAGCTGTTAATATTTAAATTGTGATTTATTGAATTTGTCAAAATGAAGTACAGTATTTGCAATGGATTTTTCTGATTTTAAAATTGATTTTCTTCTGCATCGTGTCATGTTTTGCAATATACTGTAATTTTCTATTACCAAATCAGTGGAAAATCTTAATATTACAGTAACTTTTAAAATTATTTCTTATGGAGTTAACTTATATCTATTGTATGGGTTGGTTTCTGCCTTTTTTACCACTTCTTGAAGATTGTACGTAGGTGATATTCTTTGGCATATTGCATCTGTAGACGAAACTTGGGTTGGTGTAATTAATACGATGGAATCTTAAACAATTTGATATAGGCTAAAAATAAAATTGAATTAACACTGTGCTACATTTCTTGAGCAATAATTTAAATAACCGATTTGCAAACAATGGAAACATAGAAAAAGTCATAGAACACAACCAAGTAAAAGAAATAGAAATAATGTTTTTTTTTACACTAAAAAAACAAGATCAACTTTTTGAAAAAAGATAAGATATTTACAAAAGATTTTGATTATATCAAACTGTTGTGTAGATCGTGAGAATTTCCATAATCTTTGAGTCGCCTGTAATGCTTCGCAATTGCTCGAATTCGAGCAACAGGTACGGTACACTAGTTTGTATAATATTGCAAAGACACGATTAGTAAAAAAATTGTTTTGAGTGTTATTGCTATTTTGTATATGTTTTAAAATTCATATCATCACACATAAGAGAAAAGGGGTTGGTTAATAATACTAAACTGAACTTCTAAGAATATGTATTAATGTCCACAATCAGCTTAAATACAATACATGTTGTGAAACAAAACCAATTTCTCAAATCTTTGTCTTACACCTAACTTATTTTTATTACATTCATTCATAATGTTTCTCACATTGGAGAAACAAACGGTTTTATAAAATAGTAAAATTTAATTAATTCAACGGAGCGAAAAATCCGGTTTTATAGGGTTTTATAGGGTTTATAGGGTATGGGCTCAGCGGCAGCCCATTACCGGTATTGATATTTATCTTCTGCAAATAAATAAAATATATGATCACATTCATAGAATAGTTGTATTCTTTAACTTATATCAAATATTAAAAAGGTTAACGTTTATTTAGTTTTACAATGGTCGAGTAGCAAAAACATAAAGAGTTCCTGGGGTGAGGAGGTTAGTGCGACATAAAATAACATCGTCACGCTTTTAATCACTCTACTACAAACTGCACACTTAATTGTAAATTGCTCGATCGATATGTTAAAAATCATCTCTTCAACTACAACTTTTTCGCTTAAAGTTTTCTTCTGGCCCAAAAATAAAATACTTCCTCGCATACTAAATTTTTCATGTGACAATGAAGAAATGTTTGACTCTTTTTTAACTATGGAAATTCTATTTCAAATCAAAATTAAAAATTATTTATAACATTACATTCTGCATTTAATGCAGATTGCGAATATATAAACATTATTGTACTTAATCTTTGTTATTGAAGGCTAGGAGCCAGGAGCGGGTTAACAACTTCGTGCACTATTCGATGAATAGGCTAAAATCCGCTGGGTCCCCCATGGTGGTGGAGGAAGGCTGCCACAACAGCGCGCTTTAATGAACACGTACCTAGCATTCCAGTTGTGTTGTATACTTCGATGGTTGAAGCCCTTGGGGAACAGCTAGTTTATAGTAAACTAGCTGTAACCCGCGGGCTTTGCCCCGTTTAACTTCTTGATTTCAAGATGATCTCGTTCGCATGGCTCAATCACGTTCTGGTTGAAGTTCGTTCGCTACGCTCACTCACCTTTAGGTTGGAGCTCGTTCGCTGCGCTCACTTGCCTTCAGGTTAGCTCGTTCGCTACGCTCACTTGCCTTCAGGTTAGCTCGTTCGCTACGCTAACTCGCCTCCAGGTTGAAGTTCGTTCGCTACGCTCACTCACGTTTTTGATAGCTGTTGTCATAAATGTAAAAGAAATTTTTAAAAGGAATTTTTAAAAAATTTTTTGACGAATTAAAAAAAATAATCTTCCATCATAATTAAAAGATAAAATAGTCATAAAAGTGTGATAATGTAGCCTAAAATCATTTATATGGACAACAATAATATAGTTACTTATTATTTGTATCATAAATTTAAGTTTATTGTTACTGTGTCTAATAGGCAAAGTTAATTAAAATAAACTCTGTTTACTAAATAAAAAAAAATATCCATCTCAGTTACTGTTTTGACTCTTCAAACAATAGGTTTTTAATTAATTAAATATGTAGAAGGAAAATACTTTTTAGATAAGACAGTAGTACTCTTAATGATTACTACGTATACTTAATACCTCCTGTAGAAAAGGTACTATTTTTAACTCGCAACCGCAACAGAGTCCGTTGTAGTTAAATAGGAGTATCTTCACAAGATCCAAAATCGGAAGATTCAAAAGTTTAAATTTCCGACCGGAAGATCCAATAGTTATATTGCCGATAAGAAGATCCAAAATCGAAAGATCCAACGTTCATATTGCAATTGCAGATCGGAAGATCCAAAAGCATAACCAGAAGTAGGCTACATACTTAATACCTACTTCTTTTCTTCATATTTGACCAGCAATTGCTGGATAGATTGGGTCGAAACTAAACTAAACTAAAAATTATAACTGGACAGTCCATCGTCACAAAGAAAATAAATCTAAAACAAAGAAAATAAAACTAAAAACTACAATAATTTTACTTTGTGAAGTAAACGTATGAATTAGACTGTGCTGTCAATATATAGTGAGCATCCCCTCACTGCAAAGTTTGGGACTACACCACTAGTGACAGCAAAATAGTTATTTGTGTATTTAGTGGGCAAAGTGGCACTTTGCTGCACATGAGAGCAACGTTTACGAATGATCTCGAGTGCAGCAAAGGCCTTTTGCACTCGTGTTACACATTATATTTTTCCTACAGTCACTATAAAACATATAAATGATTAGTCTTTCAAAACACTATACAACACGTTTTTAGGTTCAGCTGGCATGCTGGCAACACAAATAGGTGCCCTAGAGAAAGTAGTCCCCGGGCCGTATCACTCCGCTATTTTTTCCTCGGCAAGCAATGTACTCCGCGACTTAAGAAAAGAGTTCCGTATATTTTTGTAATTTGCTGGGGTTTTCTTGCCTAAAAAAATGCTTTTTATGTATTTTCTTGTTTATTAAGATCGTAGGAATGTTTTAAAAACGTTTAAAAGAAAAGTCCAGAAAGTTCAGAAATACCGAAATTATAAACACGAAATGACAGGTTAAATCGTAGTTATAATAGTCAATCAGCAGCTCATAGTATTATTATCTTCAAGTGGCCAACCTATTTCCAAGCGTACACGGATTACGTGCATAATAGAACCACGATGTTTAGTGTTTTGTGTTGTTTTGTTGGAATCCTGATGTACGCTAAAGTATAAACCGTACGACAAAGTATAAATATGCAGCAATTAGCGGCGTTCTGTACTATAAACAGAACAAGGAAGCCAACTTTGTCGGGTGAATGTAGGAATTTTTTTTTTTTATTGTTGTAAACATTGGTTCTAAGCATGTGTTTTAAAATTGGGTGTAATTGTGGCTTATGTTTATTTTATGCGTATTATTATTATTTTATTTTATTTGTACTGTGTGATGGTGATATGGTATAACTGAGACTGGTCTTTGTTCTTACGAATAAATTTGTAAATTCCTCAATGTTTCATTATTTACTAGGAGGAACTTTACAAAAAGGGGAACAACAATTGTACTCCTGTACAGTAATTAACATCGAAAGCGCCATTATTGTTTTTTTCTTATTTACAAAAAAATTAACAAGTTTTTGACCCAGACCGTTCTGGAACTGGATGATTTGCTACCTTCGTTATTACAGAGCATGTTCTAATAAATTTAGAGAATAGTGAAACATTTTTATTAAAAAAAATTAAATTAATTTGTTATATGTACAAGAGTTTACAAAACAAAAAAAATATTATTTTTTGTCTCCTGATGAGTTAGAAGAAGAACCATCTGAATCTTCATTGTCAGATTGTTCTGATGAACTACTTGAAGATGATGAAGAATCCGAGGAAGAACTGCTTGATGAACTGCTATCGCTACTCGAGTCTGAACTTGATTCTTCCTTCTTTTTCTTCTTTTGTTTGGCATGTTTTTGTTCCTCACCTACATTCCTAAAAAACAAACATTATTGAGTTAATTGTATCTAAAAACAAACCATTTTTTATATTTTTAATGAGAACAGACAAATAGAGATTTAATGGAATTAGTTATGGAATAAGACTCTTTTCTTTTTAAACGTCTACAGAAAATTGGTTTAAAACACATTTTTACTTTACACTTTAATACACTTTTACACTTTATTTTAGCAAAATTTACTCTGAAAAAACTTCATCATCAGATCATATCTATTTTTGTATCAACAAGGTCATAAAATTAAATTGTTAACACTAGGAATATGTTGTCTGAGGTGCTATAGCTATACAATAAAAAGGTGAAAAACTACCTATAGCTAAAAGATACTTTTAAATGTTCATTTTGGTTGTAAAAAATCACTTACACGTTGATAATTCAACCATTTCAATTTGATTATATATCTTTATATAGGTATATTATATATCTTAGTGAATCCGAGTCCGTCACAATAAAATTGGCAGTATTTGCAGCTATTAACTTACTGTACTAAACCGTTCTGCATCTGTTCCACCATCTTCATTCTTTTATTCAATATTGTCATCCTGGAATCACGCATGACAATCTTCCGCTTTCCTTTGCACTCGTAGGTCCAATGTCCACGTTCAAGACATTTTTGACACTTAGCTCCTTGCGGGTTAGCACTGACAGAATAGACATTTATATTAATCAACAAAAAACCAAACAACTTTTGATAGGTTGATAAAAAAATGTTTATTGTACATAAAACATAACTGCTTATAGATTTCAACATTTAACAGTCCTATAATAGAATAAACCATAAACACATTAAAATGTTAAACACTCCAAATAGTCTTATGATTAGGCCTAATATTATTTGATAGTAAAAAGAAGTGTCCACAATCCACATACCTAATTTAAAATAATAAATCATTAACAACCCGAGTTATAAATCTTTTAATAAAAATATATTTCTAAAAAGTTAAATTTAATATTGTTCTGAGGTTCGTAGCTGGTCTTTAACTCGTCTGATTTTAATGATCAAGAGCTTAAATGAAAGGCCTTACATTATTGAATATTTTAAGCCTAGAACGAACTACAAGCGTCAATAAGAACTGGAGATATAAGAAAAATAGTTTTAAAAAAATTATCAAACTACAAAACGTCCATAAGAAATGGTGGAGAGTATTCGTTTGAATATATCTTCTAAATGAATAAAGATATTTAAAAACGGATTTCGGCATTGAAATCAGTGTAAAAATGTAGTTGGTAATGATGTGTCACAACACTATCATTACATTGAAAAAAATTATCTATGTCCAATATGGCGGATCAAAGATGGCGGCCAAAAACATGTTCCCTATCAAAATGAAGTACTAACCACCCAATAAATACAGGCGGTAGTCCCAAGTCAATATATCGAAAAATGTGCATAACAAATGCATGTGAAATATGTTTATTTCGTTTGTCCAATGTTGGAAAAAGCCACCATTTTAAATTCTGATTTTAGTGGTTTTCTCGTGCACCGATTTTTGGCAACTTTTAGTATGTCATTCTGCAAACCCAACTCTACAAAATAAAACCATAAAACGTTTTCTTGCAATTTTTTTAACGATCCCTATGTAAGTTTGATTAGTTTTCTTGGACTATTTAGCAATAATTTATAAATAAAAAACTTTTTTAAAACAAAACTTTTTAAAAGCGCTAAAAAGTAGCAAATAATTTTTAAATATGTGGAGAGTGTAAATACTTGTAAGATTTAAAACGAAAAACGCATGCAATAGATAATTTACAATTACCTTAACCTATTGAACTAATGAATTATTATCAATTGCATGCACCCCACGTTTTAAATCTTTTAATCGTTTTAAATCTTACAAGTATTTATACTCTCCACATATTTAAAAATTATTTTCTACTTTTTAGTGCGTTTAAAAACGTTTTGTTTTAAAAAAGTTTTTTATTTATAAATTATGTTCTACTTTTTAGTTTTTAATGTGTGCGGATGTTAAATCTATTTCAAGCATCTATATCAGATTAAGACAGAGGCATGTGGGAAATCTAAGGATTATTTGAGTTTCTTTTCATATAATTATGTATTAGATTGAATGTATGGCTTACCTACTAACTATAAACATAGACTAACCAACACAAGTAGACTTCTCATCCCATTGTAAATTTTGAAGCACGTTTTTCGTGTCTAGTGTCGATGAAACTTTGTTTCCATTATTGGGTCATTCCATATCAAATCAACAAGGCTCTCAACCTGACCATCTTGGATTTTGATGAAATTTTGCATACTTGTAGTATTTTGAGTCCTGAATCCAAATATGCTTTTTAAAAAAATCTATCTTTTATAGTTTTTATGATATAAATATTTGAAAATGGTAAAAATTGGCGTTTTTTACCGTGCGCGCAAATCTAAAATGTTGTCTAGGATGAGTTCTATTGGTCCTATCAAGTTGTACAATGGCTCATTTTAAAGAGGATTCAAATGCCTTTAATCTGATACCAAACTCAACCTACTTTGGTAAAAATTAATTTTTTTTGAAAATTTCAAAATATGTTTTTAAATAAAAATTTAAGATAGTGTTTTTTGAAAAATTTGAAAATTACATATGTTAAAGAATGTAATCTAGTAAGTACATTATAAAAATTTCAAAATGGGATGATGATGGGATCAGCAGTTATGATAAAAATACTTGACTATGGTTCACTGTTTCCAAGCGTTTTGGCGCATACAGCGTGTACGTATTAACCTAAATGTATCATTTAATAAGAATCTATTAATTATATGATTAAAATTAAAAATATCTGCCTATATTTGAACTATGTATGTCATATTTTGCTATAATATAAACTAAATCTAGCAAATAAACAACATTATTCAAGTTAACAGAGTTTCCGTCAACCTTTGAACATGGGGGCTACTTTGAACAAACTTTCCACTTTTCATTTTTTATTTTTTTTTTCATATTAATTTTATCTTTAAATGATAATGTTTATTATAATTTTCTATTCCCAGATAAATACTCTACTTAAAAAAAATATTTAATAGTGCATACTATGGTTCTACAAAAAATTAAAAATACTTATTTTTCACTGAAGTTTTTAAATTTTAGTAAATAAAGTCGTCCAAACTTCCATGTCTACAGCAAACCCAGTAAGTTTATGATTTATGACTTAAAACCATAATTGAATAGCCCATTTATCTGGGATTAAGAAAATACCTGCTTTGATTACTTTATAAGCAGTAATAACTTTAAAAAAAAGAAAGAAAAAATTACCCATTTTGCTGACCCTTACTTATGGCGTCACGACCCTAAGTTCTGGAGCAAAATTTCCCGGACATGAAAAAAAATACTTGGGTTTTAAGTGTTATTTTTTAAAATAATTTTTCTAATGAAAACAGATGTTTTGAGCTTTAGTTATTATTAGCAGCTATAATCCAATTCCTTTATTTGACTGCTATGATATTAAAAAAATACCCTTGCAAAGTTAAAAAATAACCGGACGGACATTTTGAAAATTCTCCGTAACTTTTTTAATTTTTGACATATCAAAATAAAAGTTATACAGAAATGTGGTATGTGGTTTGTGGTATTTAAATCCACAAATCAGTTTTCACTAAAAAAATTTTAATTGTTAAAGTAAGAATACATTATTTATACTTATGAGCAGACATTTCCCTAAAAATAAATAATTAGGATATCATGGAATATTATCTATGTATCAATAATAAGGTTACTACAGGATTTAAATAGATTGATCACAGTATATTGTGTGACAAAATTATCAATGCTTGTTTGTCTTTCTCTCTTGTCACGAGAGGAAAGACAGACAAACATGGACCTATGAGTTTTGACTCAGGTTCCTCAGTATTTTCCAGTTGTGTTGCAACGATTTACTGTAATCAATCTTTAAGTCTGCCTTTTCACTAGGCTGGAGACACTAGTCAGCCACTAGATCTGTGCAAAATCACATTGTGAAGCACTTTACGTTTACACTATCAGGTCGCAGCGACCCACCTTGGCAGTAGCGACCCGGTCTTGAGAAGTTGTAATTTGTTTGACAGGTACACAGGTCTAACTTATGTTTGTCAGTCTTTCCTCTTGTCTCAAGACTGAGTCGCTACAGCCGAGGTGGGTCGCTGCGACCTGATGGTGTAAACGTAAAGTGCTTCACAATGTGATTTTGCACAGATCTAGTGGCTGACTAGTGTCTCCAGCCTAGTGAAAAGGCAGACTTAAAGATTGATTACAGTAAATCGTTGCAACACAACTAACTGGAAAAGACTGAGGAACCTGAACCAAAACCCATTGGTCCATGTTTGTTCAAAGGTTGACGGAAACTCTGTTAACTTGAATAATGTTGTTTACTTGCTAGATTTAGTTTATATATAGCAAAATATGACATACATAATTCAAATATAGGCAGATATTTTTAATTTTAATCATATAATTAATAGACTCTTATTTAATGATACATTTAGGTTATTAGGCCTACTTGCACGCCGTATGCGCCAAAATGCTTGGAAACAGTGAACCATAGTCAAGTATTTTTATCATAACTGCTGATCCCATTATCATCCCATTTTGAAATTTTTATAATGTACTTACTAGATTACATTCTTTAACATATCTAATTTTCAAATTTTTCAAAAAACACTATCTTAAATTTTTATTTAAAAACATATTTTGAAATTTTCAAAAAAAATTAATTTTCACCAAAGTAGGTTGAGTTTGGTATCAGATTAAAGGCATTTGAATCCTCTTTAAAATGAGCCATTGTACAACTTGATAGGACCAATAGAACTCATCCTAAACAACATTTTAGATTTGCGTGCACGGTAAAAAACGCCAATTTTTACCATTTTCAAATATTTATATCATAAAAACTATAAAAGATAGATTTTTTTAAAAAGCATATTTGGATTCAGGACTCAAAATACTACAAGTATGCAAAATTTCATCAAAATCTAAGATGGTCAGGTTGAAAATAATTTTTTATTGGTTGATTTCATATGGAATGACCCTATTTTAGGGTTAATTTCTTGATTTGTGCTTTACTGTTTGGTTATATAACTAGGGGACAAGTTATTGTTTATGATTAGATTGTATTATTTGGTTAAACGAGGGTTTAAATGGCTGTAATAACGGGAAACAAATTGTAAACAAAACACAAACTCTACATAAACCGTACAGAACTAACAATAAAATTGTCTTCAGCTGTTCCATAAGGATGAGAAATCTACTAAGGGAGTATGTTTTATCTATGCTATAAACATAGACTAACCTCTACCTCTTAACCTCTCGTCTTCGAACTGTCAAATTTAAGTATTTACAGCTGACTTAAATTAATTGATATATTTACATTCTTACAAAATGTAAACATGGAAAATTTGGAAGCCCATGGAGTGTAGCCCAAGGGAAGTATGAAAATTAAATGATATAATATTGCATTGTCATCCATTTGTGAGCTATGTTTCAAATTTCAAGTCTCTAGCTCATCGGGAACTTCGTTTAAAATTAATATCAAAATTTGTAGGAAAGCGAGCTAATAAAAACAAAATACAATCCCATGGAGCGTAGCCCAAGGGAAATATGAAAATTAAATTATATAATATTGCATTGTCATCCATTTGTGAGCTATGTTTCAAGTTTCAAGTCTCTAGCTCATCGGG